AAATGTCAAATGGTCCCTAGATAGACCTAAATCTATAGGTCTATAGAATAGAGGGAGCAATGGGGCTTGTGAAACAGATGGTGGCAGAACACATCTCAATGATGTGAGACGAGAAACAGGAAAGATGGCCTTCAACAATCCAGATACTGGCTGCACCTTCTCGTTCCACTTAACACTCTGATCCGGCAAGGAAAAGATGAACACTCCTCGTTTCCCATTGCCACTGCCAGAATCTACCTCGATTGCCACCACTGCAACCTCTCCTTCGAGGTTGACTCGAGCCAAATTCATCACACAATTCAAGTGGTCGAACTGGCCATCATACTATACATTGATGTTGCCTCAAACATTCTAACTTCCTACTATCCCAAATGTACTTAACTGCCGTGATCTATTCCTCCACTCTCCCTCAGCTACACCATCAAAAGGTCATTCTCTTCCTCATTTCTTATCTAGTCTTAATCGCTGAATGGGTGTTGTCTCAGTTCAACTGAGACCTGGGAAAGACCTTAACTTAAAAAGGCCTAGGTCTCACTGATGTGAAATGATGCAAAGTGAGCAATACATTGTACACAGTAACAGTCATATTATTCAATGACTAACTTCGATAGACTTAGCTCTTCTCAGCAACGCAAGGATTTAAGACACCTCCAAAATACTCACGATGGAAATTGCTATCCATATCCAAAGAACTATGGAGTACGAATGCAGATGGAAGTATACTATTTGCTCTCCTTTTCCTTTGCTGTTTTGTTTTATTGCTTCACTCTCATGGTTCCTACCACTAGTTCTAATTGTTTTTTTTAATGACAAATGGGAAAATACGCTTAACATGAATGTGCAAGTACAGCCTACATCAGATTGTACGCTGCCATCTTCTGTGGGGAGGGGGGAAGAGGAGTTGGAAAGGAAGAAAATGTAAAATTCAAAATCTTATGGAAACTAAACTTACTGAAAACTAAAATTAAATTAAAAAAAAAAGGCCAAGGTCTCCCACTGCATGGAGGGTCAGAGCCATCTCCAGTCATCCTGATCTGTATCTTGCCACTGAAGCCAGATGGCTCCCGAGGAGAAAGTGAAGCTGCTGACTTTGCACAGCCCTTCCTTACTTAAATCCAATTCACTTTCACGTCACGGCATCACCTCTCTTATGTCACGATAATCTTCGGGAATGAAAGACAACCAACCTCTGTAATAGTAGGAGCTGCCCCACTGGGGCCCCAAATGCAACCAGCCAACTGGGCTCTTCCTTTCTTTGCCTTCCCTTCCCTTTGTCTACACAGGTATCAACCCCATACCTGTGAGTGCTCTGCCCAAAGGAATGGGTGTTGCCTCAAACTAAGACCTGGGAAAGACCTTAGCTTAAAAAGGTCAAGGTCTCCCACAGCATCCAGGACCATCTCTAGCCATCCTGATCTAGTTTGCCACTGGATCCAGATGGCTCTGAAGGACAGAGTGAGGCTGGTGACTGCACTTACATCCAACTCATTTGTGTATGTCATGGCATCATGGTCCTCTTCTAGAACAAAGGACAACCACCTGCTTAACAAGGCTGCTTCAAACTGTCTCTCCTCAAGCCTCCCATATGACCACCTTCCTCCAACTCTCAGCTGAGAAACTGCCCTCATCCTTTACTGAAAACAAGAGACTATTCACTTTAAAATCTCTCTCACCTTTAAAAATCACTTTTCACTTTAAAAGCCCTTCCCAACCTCTCAACATTGCAAAACTTAATATTAGCCCCCTTTCCCTCCTTTATTCTGGTTTCCAATGGAAACCTTACTAAAGTTCCCTTACTAAAGTTAACCCTTCCACACATGCCCTTGATCAAACCTTTTCTGTTCAGCAAATTGCCTCCAAATTGTCTCCTCTAGTCAATTTCTCTCCCAACTAATTAATTCCTTGCAGCTTACAAATGGGCCCAAACCTGCCCTTTCTTTTAAAAAAAACCTTCCCTTGGGGCAGCTAGGCATGCAGTTGACAATGCTCTGGCCTTGGAATCAGGAGTACCTGAGTTCAAATCCAGCCTCAGACACATGATACTAGCGGTGTGACCCTGGCCAAGTCATTTAACCCTGATTGCCTCACGAAAAAAATCTTCCCTAAACCCTATGATTTTCAAGTTGTCCATATGATATCTCTTTTTCAAAGTCAAACTCCTAGAAAAAGCCACCTACAGTTACAGACTCCACAAAACCTCATCTCACTCACTTTTCTAACTTCTACAATCTGGTATCTGACTTCATTAACCAACTCAAACAGCCCTTTCCAAAGTCACCAAGTCTCTTAATTGCCAAACCCAAAAGCTTTTCTGAATTCTCATCTTTGGTCTCTGTTGTGTTTGGCACTGTTGACTACATTTTCCTCCTGAATACTTTCCTTTCTGGATTTTCATACCACTTCTCATTTGCCCTACCTGCCTCAAGTCTTCTTCACTGGTTCAGATACCCACATCATACCCCATCTCTCTCCTGGATACCTTCCTTTCTGGGTTTTCATACCACTTCTCATCTGCCCTACCTGCCTCAGTCTCCTTTGCTGGCTCATTACCCACATCACGTCCCATGTCTCCCAAGGCTGTCTTGGGCCACCTTCTCTCTTTACACCTTCACTTGGTGACCTCATAAATTTCCATGGGTTTGTCACCCCATATGCAGATGACTACTAGTTCTATACATCTGGGCCTAGTCTCTCTCCTAAGTTCAAATCCACCAACTGTTAGGCATTTCACAATCTATGTCACACCTCAAAGTCAACATGCGCCAAATAAAAAATAATTCTTTCAATCCAAAGCCACTCATTTTCTAAACCTTCCTATTTCTTTGAGCCACCACCATCATTCCAAATACCCAGGCTTACAATCTGAGTCATCCACAATTGCTCATTTTCACTCACCTCCCCTATCTAATCAGATGCCAAATCTTGTCTTTTCTACCACATCTCTCACGTCCATTCTCTTCTCTTTACTCACACATCTACCAACCTAGATGTGCAAATGTAAACACAGGCTCCTCTAAGAATATCAGTTGCCTACTCAATTACCTCTAGACTCAAATTTGGCCTTTGAAGCTCTTTATAATCTCCAACCTTACACATTCCTATGCTCCTCTGCAGTCCTGCCAAATTGTGTTCCACACGTATTTGTCCATCTGCCCTGTGCAAACTATTCCCCAATCTTTCAATCTTGACCTTGCAGACCAACTTCCACAGATTCAGTTGAAGTGCCCTCTTTCATGCCTTTCTTGATCCCAGCTGTCTGCTACACGGCAGGTGCTTAAATGTTTGTGTGAGCCACCTGATTCAAGCCAATTAGCATCTTCTTTCCCAAAATTACCTTATATTTCATGCATGCATGTAGGACTGTGTGCAAATGTGTTCCATGACTGATATAACAGGGAATGATAAAGCAAATTTTGTGATTGCTTATTTAATGATTTTCACTGAAAAGCAGCCAAAGTACAGAAAACTACAACACTTCATAATAATTCACAAAGCTACAACTCTTCTGACATTCACTTTCACAAGTAAACATCTGGTCCTTTTCAAGGTAAAATGAAATATTCACTGTATGTTTTCTGGTGCAGAAGAAGCTATAGGTAGAGGAAGGAGGGTTACTCTACCAAACCCATCTTCCACCATGGCTTTCAGCTCTGAGGCCTGGAGTTGCAGCCTGCCCAACTTTGCCAGCACAGTCCTTAAGAGACCATTTAACATCAGTGAAATTATGCTATTTTGATTAGGTTCCTATCTTCTTTTGAGCACTCTTTGGACTCCATTTTTCCTCTAAGTCCTATTTAGGAAAGCAGGTGCTGTGTTACAGCAAAACTAGACAGACTGAGAGATACAAAGACTCATACACAGTTTTCCCTGAGGGCAAAGACCATTTCACTCTTGTCTTTTGTTGGATTGGCAGGACAGAATGTGATGATGGCATAGTAAAAAAAAAAAAAAATTATTTATATAGGCTTTCCTCACAGTTAAAGCATATGGTCCCCAAACTGTTGAAATGTTCATGTGTGCTTATTACCACTATTGGATGTTCTATCATATATTGTTATTAAGGTTGAAAGAGGAGTATTTTTTTTGGGTCACTTCAGTCATGTTCAACTTTTTGTGAACCCATTTTAGCGTTTTCTTGGCAATGATACTGGATTGGTTTGCCATCTCCTTCTCCAGCTCATTTTACAGATGAAGAGCTGAGGCCAACAGGGTTAACTGACTTGCCCAAGGTCACACAGCTAGTAAGTGTTTGAGGCCAGTTTTGAAGTCAGGAAGATGAGTCTTCCTGATTCCAAGACCAGTGTTCTATCCACTGTGCCACTGGTCTTGTATTTTTTTCCAATTCTAACCAGTGTGCCCTACAATTGTTTTCTCCATTTTGCTCCCCTCCACTTCTCACATGACCCACCCATATTTTTCTGGAATGAAAAACTCACCTTCAGGCTCAGAGCTTTTCAAGGCTAGCTATACAATTTTAATCTTTGAAAGTGACTCACACAAAGAATTGATGGAATCTGAATGCAGATAGAAGCGTATTATTTTCACTTTTTTGGGGTGGTTTTTTCTTTTGTTCTGTTTCTTCTTTCACAACAACATGAGTAATGTGGAAATATGTGTAACATAATTGCACACATATAACATACCAGACTGCTTGCTGTCTTGGGGATGGGATGGGAGGAGGGAGAAAAATTTCGAATTCAAAATCTTATAAAAAATTAATGTTATAAACTATCTTTACATGTAATTGGAAATAATAAAATACTATTTACATTTAAAAAAGAAAAAAAAAGTGACTCAGTTACAAGAAACCCAGGACAACTAACATATTTCATGAGCTGATTCCAAATTGTAAACACACTTACGAAATACTGCAAGGTCAAAAAATTCATGTTTTCAAGGTCTAGTCCCTTCTATGGTCATTTTCATTAGAGGTCTTTCCATTTCTTTCCAACACTACGAATTTCTTACCAGGGCCCTTTATCAAATAAAAAGAAATTTGGTTCTTGTGCCACAACTCAGTTTTTATTGCTGAAAAAAAATAATATTTTTAATGTGATTCCTTGCAAATGAAGGAATGCTTATTTGCCTTGGGATAGAAAACATTTCTTTTGCCCACTCTTTTTTGGAAGTTGTACTCCTCAAAGATCACCCAGAAAACCAGTCCTAACACTTAGAAAGCATTAAAGATCTTTCTTTGTGTTTCTTTTCACTCTTCTACCCGGAGATCTGAAAAGCATCCTTGGTCCTAGAGACCAAAAAATTAGTTTATTTTTCCTTTTTAAAGAATCTGTTGATCTACTGACACTCCTGTTTGGCCTTTTTGGAGGGGGAAGAAAATCACAATCTGTTGGATTTTCTGTACTCTCTGCCAACTCCCTTTTGGATAACTTGGCCTTGTCTTTCTGGGGAGGAACAACGCTGTTTCTGCTAACCCGCTTATGTTTCTTTTTTATCATTTTAGTGGTAGCTACATCCTGATACTCTGTCTCTAAGTCACTGGTTCTACTTAACTGTAACTCTTTCACATTAACTGTTTCTGAAGAAACCTTTGAGGCTACCTGGGGAATAATGTGGTTGCTTCCATTAACAACTTGCTTCCTTTGCTTTGTGACCAATTTAGGAGTTCCTATGTCATTACTTTCTGGCTTTGAGGAAATAATAGGATGTGCTGGCAATCCTTTCACAGAAGGAGTTTCTGTATAAGCCTTCTGAAGTGTGGTGCACAAGTTTTTCTTTTGTTGTTCCTCCGTCTCTATCTTCTTACAAGCATCTTCTTTCCTGCTTTTGCCAATGGCTGGCATCACCTCAAGGTCTGTCAGTTTTTCTTCATTCTTTTGGGTCTCTGTTTCATCATTCTTATTTGGGTCTTGGAAGCCGCCATCTATTACTTTAAAGGCTTTTGGTCCTTGACCCTTTGTTCTTTTACATGCTCTTCTTGAGCTGTTGTTTTGAGGATTTAAGGAAACAACTGTATCAGACATGCCTATGTCACTTGGAAAAGAAGAATCAGTACTCATATTCTTCCTTTTATTTATCTCCCTTCTCTTCGTAGCTCTTGACCTATCTTTCTCAAAAGTCAGAGCTGTCTCCATATTCTGCTTTTCATCTTTTTTCCCTATAAAAATGACAAGAAAGAAGACAAAAATATATCTAGCAGTTATATCCCATTGCAAATCAACAACTATTTATAGATTGGCTACATATCACATGTGGGAGTATGACTGGATGAAAAAGCATTTATTAAGCACTTAGTATGTGCTAAGCACTATGCTAAGCATTGAGAATATAAATGGCAAACACTTCCTGTTCTCAAAGAGCTCACACTCTAATTAGGGGAGACAACAGCTGCAGGACAGATGGAAAGGCCCATGATTCCTAAGGGGGCAGTTGTGGGGCAGACATCAAGGATTTAAGATTCCTTAGGTTACAAAAGTAGAGCAAATGACAATGCTAGGGCTGGTGCTCCTCCATCTTATCAGATGGAACAGATCTGTTAACTCCCATTTTCATCCAAACCCTGTGGGCAGCCAGTAGGTTTTGGGCGAAAAGGAATAACAAAGGAAGAAGGATGTCTCCAGTGGTGGTAGGTCTTTTTACCACCCAGCTCTCCAAGAGGTGCTGAGATAGCAAGGTCAGTAATAACAGTATTACTATCTCCATTTCACAGGTGAAAGACCTGGAGCATTGAGGCTAAATGATAGCATGAGAAACAGGATTCAAGGCCAGATCTTCTTGACTCCAAGAAGAATATTCTATAAACTACAGAGGTGTCAAACATGAGACCCTTGGGACCTATAACAGCCTACACCTCCTGAGTGGGCCCAAATCAGGTTAAAATGTAACTGGGAAATATGTGACAAATAAAAACACAACAAAACATAAATATCACATTTTAAAACTAAGTCAATATGTGGCCCACAGAGACTCATATGTATAGTTCAGTAGCCCTCATTTCTACTTGAGTTTGCATCACTGTACTATACCAAGTTCAACTTGAATAGGAAGTCTGTTAGTGATCAAGTTAGAGTTTCTGGGGTCACAATAAAAAGATGATGGCAAAAGAAGACTGAAAAGTGAAGCTGAGCTGGATAGGATGAAAGCACAGGGAAAGGGAACACGGGAATAGTACAGGGTAAAGAGGATTTCTGCATCAATGTAACATTGAACTACCATATGAATTATATTTTGAAAAGACTACATAATCGTGACTATAAAAATTTAAGTCACCACGGCTTTGAGGATGCTATTTTGTCAAGAAAAGGGACCTGGCTTAGAATCAGTTAAATCATTAATTTAACAAGCATTTTATTAAGAGCTTACCTACTAAGTAAAAAGCAATGAGAGGTATAAAGAGATAAGAGTTTATCAGGGACTAGTGCTAAGAGCAGTTTTGTTTAAAATCTTCATAAGTGATATCAAGGATCTAGAAAAGGTGATGTGACGTGTATTAATTCGTTAGTATCTAGTATTAAGAGGGATGCAAGTACTCAGTTGGCTTAGAAGGAATATCACTATAGTGGGGGACAGGAAACATTCATCAGGCTAATATATTTTAATATCCTAAAAACTATTCTTGCTATTATTCTATAAACCAAACAACCTTCTTTTAATTAGGTTTCCCAGGTATCATGATGGGGAAAGAGTTTTCTATCAGTTTTATTGTCTGTGTGACAAACATAATTTTAAACTCTAATAGCTTAAAACTGCACTGAGACTCTGGGGATACCCTGTATATCTATCAATGTTCACCTTTCTAGGTTAGGCTAGTGTGAATTTGGTTACTTAAGAATTTCTTGTTCACAGAGATAAGTGTACTGCTAATTTAAAAATCAAGGTCATGGACCTTCAATTCAAAACTAAGGGCCTGGAAGCACAGTGGTAATCAACTATCCCAGAAGGCCAGGCTTAATCACAACTTTCTAATCCACATTACTATATCTATAACCAATTAAACCAACTTTGTAATCCACATTACCATACCTATGAGAATAAGAAATGAGATGAGAAAGTTTTACAATATCAGTCACCTTAATCCTCATCTGCTACTTTTCTACACCTTGATAGTTATTACAATCTTCCTGCAGCATCCCCCTATAAACTTAATATTTCACTACCCAATGAGAAGTTTTTTTTTTTTTTTAAAGGCAATTAGGGTTAAGTGACTTGCCCAGGGTCACAGAGCTAGTAAGTGTCAAGGGTCTGAGGCTGGATTTGAACTCAGGTCCTCCTGACTCCAGGGCCAGTGCTCTATCCACTGCACCACGTAGCTGCCTCTCTAGAGTTTTAATCACATCTATAAATTTGATGATTTTGGTGAGCAATCCTTCCTCCACGTCAGCTGCCAATATTATGAAAATGAAAATTAAGGTATAACTCTCCAAATATACAAGAGTTTCACAGGCTAAGAATGACCTTGACATCAAAATCTCAGATTTCCCTATCTTTGACGGCCCAAGAACTTATGACAGCTTGCAGCTTTACTAACCCAGAAGCTTAAGGCCTCCCCTAAGCACAAATTGCACAGGTTATTTCCAAACTTTAAGTTGGCCTCCTACCTTTCTCTTTTTGCAATTTTGATTTTGGCAAACAAGTCTTCTTTTGCTGAAGCCTGTTCCGGTTTGACTTTTTACGCTGAGGAAGGCCATCTTGAGGGAATATGCCTGTTGGACCAAAAGTCAAGTTCAATGCATTGCTTTTTATCTGACTATTCACCTTAACCTAAAACTTACCTTCTACATAATTATTTCCTATAACGAAAAGAAGGAACCTCTCTATTAAAAGACACTATTCTAAGATTCAATAACAAAGACCATTACCATCTATATGACATCACAGCTGAAAGAAACCAGTTTGTTGTAGCTTTTCAAGTACAACCTTTTAAGTCCCTAGGTGGGATATTTACTGCATAGAAAACATTTATACTCAAGTCTCCAAAATCTAGGGCAAGATATGTCTATTAGAATTGGGACTATATTATTCACAAATTGGCATTTCTGAGGCATTGAAAAAAATTTATCTCTAACGCATTAGATTTTTAAAAGCTCAGTGTTTTGAAAAATAATCCAGAGATACCTTTACCCAGAAATTCCAAATTAAACTACTGAGAAAACAATTAGGTCTTCTTTTCTAATATAGAAAAACTTCATATTCACAGCAGTATTTTAAAAATTTATTACATGCTTAATGATTATAAAAAATAATCAAATACCTAATAAACAAGGGGCAAACCTTATATAAAACCCTAAGCCTTGAAAGGCAGAACCAAGCTAACAAACAAGTAAAAAAAAATTGCTTTGTTCACCATCTCATTCAAGGACTGTTCAAAATTTTAACACTTCTGGCATCTTCTTTGTATAGCGGCATGAAATATGCTTATAGTTATGGGTATCGCTATTACCACATATAGATTTTTCCTTATTTCATTTTGATTTCTTTTCAGCTTTACAGTACTCCAATTCAATAATAAATCTTAGCTCTTTTAGCCACTGTCTTAGCAAGTACAGGCTGCTTCCAAGAAGCAACTATGAATATTTTTATAGTAGACTGTTTTCATTTTTGTTTGTTTTTTGGGGGGAGGAGTCTCAAAATTCCTATCAATGAAATCACTGAGTTTGAAAAAAAGTATGACAGGTTTTGTGACTTATTGCATCAATGCTATATTGACCACCAAAATGTTGACATCAGTCAGTGGCTGCACCAACTGCAGTTTGCATGATATTTTACTCATTATATAGTTAAGTTAGCCAGTCACCAAGCACTTATTAAATAAATACTTACTTTGCCCCAGGCAGGCAGTGGGGTAAGTGCAAAAAACACAAAGAAAGACAAAAACCAGTCCCTGTCTTCATGGATTATATGTAGTAACGGGAGAAACAACACATAATTAAGAAGGTATATACAAAGACATGCACAGAGAGAGAGAGAGAAAGAGAGAAAGAGACAGACAGACAGATGAAGGTAATCTGAAAGTGAAAGGAATTGGCAGCTAGGGGAACTTAAGAAGGCCTCTTAAAGAAGGTAAGATGAGATGAGTCAAGGTAACTAAGAGTTGGGAGGTGAAGGGGCAGAGTATTCCAAGCCTAGGGCATAACAAGTGTCAAAACATGGAGATGTGAGTTGTAATGTCATTTTGAAGGAATAGGAAGGTCAGGTGTGACTGGTAGCTCTGACTCAGGCCAGTACCCTATGAGTTCAGTTTCAAGCCCAAAATGAGGTACTTCTTGGTCATTCAATAGTCAATTAAAGGAGGTTTATTTAGCCATAGCATAACAAAGATAATAAATTAGTACAAGGTGCCTCTCAATTCCATATAGAAATCACTGAGTCTGCATGGTAGACTGTGGGGACTTGTATGAATGGTTTTGAACATCCACCAAACACGAAATGTTCTGACTCCATGATGGTAGGCCTTTTTATATCCTTAGGTAACCAAAAAGCCGTATCAATATAGCCAGAGGTTATCAAGAAGCTGCGGCAAGGGAGGTACCAATTGAGCCTTGGCCCTTGGACCAATCCAGTTCCAGGGATGGCCTCGTCTCCTTTCAGGAAAAAAAAAAACTGGCCTAACCCATGCTAAGGAAGGAGAAGAAGGGGGGAGGAATCCTGATAGTAGTGACTGAATCAAGCCAACGTAGTTAGAAAGTCTGTGTGGAGAGTAATGTTTAAGAGGATTGGGAAAGGTAGCAAGGAGCCAGCAGTGTAGAACTTTCAAGGTCAAAAGGAAAATTTTATATTTGATAACGTGCTTTGGCAGTTAAGTGGAAGATGGCTTAGAGTGGGGAGAAATTTGAGGCAAGGAGACCAGCCAGAAGGTGAATGGAGGTGTCCAAGTGAAAAGTGACAAAGGCCAAAATCATGGTTGTGACTATATGAGTGGGCAAGTCACTTAATCTCTCTCAACCTCAGTTTCTCATCTGTAAAATAGCATCCATCTCACAGGATTGTTGTATCAAAGGAGATAACATGTAAAGCACTTTGCAAACCCTGAAGCACTATTATGAGTAAAAAGAAGGGGATACCCTTTCTTTCTACTTTACTTTCACATACTCTACTTTTCACCTAAGTGAAAAGAACTTAAACCAGGTTTTTCTCTAGGATTAAATTAATTAATATTTTGTTTTTAAAACAAATTCTGGACAGATATTCAAGCCTAAAACAATACAAATACACACACCCATACCAACCTCTATAGGCCCCAGAGAAGTAAGTGGCAAAGAAATTCTAAAAACTAAACAGGTAGTAAGATGTGACAGGCAAACTCTAACACTCACTCTTACCCCTCAAAAAACCTAAACCCAGTAATTTTCTCAGTACCAATGGATTCCAGATTATATTGTATCTTGATCTAGAAATGAGAACTAAGTACGCAAGTGCTGTGCCATGAAATGCCTACCTAAAGGACAAGTCCAAAACATTCTTTATCATCCTCCTTCCACTTCCAATTTAACTTTACTTGAAGACACCTTGTCTTTCTTTCCTGATTCTGACCAACTGCCTTGCACATATGTTGTCTTATACAAGAGGCAGAGTGAAAGGAAGTGCAATCCCACAAACTTAAAAATAATTCAACTCGTTGTCACCTTTATTTACAAAGGGTTAGTAGCATCATCCATGAAGGACAACACTAAGATACAAGGAATATGCCTCCTTTTCCACATGAAGTATTGCTAGACACTTTTGCAAAGACAAAGTACATATTGTTTTCCACAAAGGATTAATCTACTTAAATAGTAGCAGCAATCCTTTTCTTTTCTTTTTTTTTGTGAGGCAATCGGGGTTAAGTGACTTGCCCAGAGTCACACAGCTAGTGAGTGTTATGTGTCTGAGGCAGCATTTGAACTCAGGTCCTCCTGACTCCAGGGCCAGTGCTCTAATCCACTGAGACAACTAGCTGCCTCTAGCAGTAGTCCTCTTCAAAGAAGGAAGCTGCTACCTCTGTACCAATTAATCCTTACCTTCAGCAAGGCTCTGGAATCTGAAAAGAAAAAAAAAAGGCATTACTTCAGAATACTGAAAAGATACTACATTCTCACACAAGACAGCATTTCAAACCTCTAGCCAGGTAGACTTTCCTAGAAGCCTCATTATTTAACTATTACTGCATATGGAAAAATAGCCAAAAATATAGAAGTTTTGTTTCAATAGCAATTTTTAAAAAATTTTAAGAGACTGCATCTCCCTAACTTACCCAGCTTAGAAATGCAATGGCCTGACCCAATCCCACTGCTATCAGCATGGATGTTTTGACCTGCTTTTCAACCTGGGTCAGTTCACCCACCCTGCTCTCAGAGGCTTTACCATACTGATTCAAGACTTAGTGCAGATACTCAAATTGGCTTTAGCCCTAGCTCACAACTTCCAAAGGATCCACCAACCTGCCTCTTCCTCCCCCAGGAGCAGCGATTACAGGTACGTGCCAATATAGGTAGCCCTCACTAAGCACTAAGCTCTACCCAGTCAAAGTGGCCTACATACTGTTCCCTATTCCATCTACTATCTCCATGCCTTTGAACAAATTAGCCAGCATAGCTGAAATTTTCTCCCCTCTCTTATTTGTTCAAATTCTAACTCCATGCAAGGCTCAATTCAAGTGCTATCTGCTTCAACACACCTTTCCTGACTCCTCCAATTGTAACTTTTTCCCCCCAATTCACTGTGTATTTATTATATAACCTGTATTTTTTTAAATCTGTAACTATATTTTAAAGGCTAGACAGAATGTCTACTTATATATTTATATAAATGCTTCTGACTGAGAAAGGTAGACAGACAAACTGATCAATCTAGGAGTCATCAATACAGTGATGATGGTTGAATGAATTCCTGGGAATTGATGAGAGAGGATATATAGAGAAAAGTGCTAAGGACATAGATCTGGGATAAACCCACACATAGGGGATGGACAGAGAGGACGATCCAGGAAGAAGACTAAGAAGGAGCAGCAGGACAAAGAAAAAATAGTGTCAAGAATGGCAAAAGCTGTTGCGAGTATGAGAAGGATAAGAACTAAAAAGAGTTTCTCAGCAAACATACTAGCCTTGGTGCAAGTTAATTTGCAAAAGAACACCACTATAAGTATAATTTCTAAAAACTGTGCATGCTGAATGAAATCCTTTCTCTGCCATCTAGCAAGTAAGAGTCATCTCAGAGAAGGGGGTTCACTATAGAGACAAAGAAGCTTTTCACAAATAAGGATAAAGGTAATGGCCCCAAAGTACCAAAGTATCAGAAGGTAAGAGCAATGCCAACCTGTTTCCAAAAAGTACTTACTTTCTGACCAGCTTGTAGAGACGCTTCCTATTTAAGGAAGGAGTGCTTTGCCTGCTGGCCATTTCAAACAGTCTATTGGCAATTTCCTCATAGTTAAACTATTAAAAAAAAAAAAGATTTCACTTAAAACAAGTCAATTACTTTTTTCTGGACCCCTCTGGTGTGAAACTACTTAACGTGAAAGAACTATTCACAGCACAACGGCAGCTTTCCTACTGTGCATACCAATATGATCCAGAAATACCACTAGTAGGCCTGTACCCCAAAATAAAAAAGAACAAAAAAGACCCTTATGTATAAAAATATGTACAGGAGTTCTTTTTGTAGTAGCAAAAAACTAAAACAAAAGGGTTATCCATCTACCAGGGAATGGCTAAACAAATAAGATATATAAATATAATGGGATATTAGGCACCGTAAGAAAGGAGAAACAGACATTTTCAGAGAAAATGGGCAAGATTGTATTTCAACTAATATAGAATGAAACAAGTAGAAACAGGAGAATAGTTTTATAACAACATTATATAGAAAAACAACTACCTTCTAACAGAAAGGTGACAAAATCAAGATGAAAAAGGAGACATATATTTCTGGACAGGGTCAATGTGGGAATTTGCTTGCTAGACTACATACATATGTTAACAGGGGTTTTCTTTTTTCTTTTTTTTAGTTGGGGGGTGGGGAATGTGGGAGAGAGAAAATCAAAGGTAACTAAAAAATAACAATTTTTTTTAAAACAATGAACACTCAATTTTCTGAATCTGGTTTGGTCAGGAATGCTAACTTCTCTGGAAAAGCATGTGCATAGATAGCTAAGTCATTTCAGAGGGTATGTGTACCTACTTCCTGTTGAGTAGCAAATCTGCTTTCTCCCATTATCTTACTTGGTGGAAGGGCAAACAATGCCTTCTTCCATACAAGAAACAAAAGTTTTATTGGACCTACTTAGAGTATTCTCCCTTTTCTTCCATTCATTCACTGAAAATAGTTGCAACTGAGCCGTCCTTTTCCTAACCAAAACATCTCAGTGAGTTTATTTCTAAAAAGAGTAATTCCTTTTTTAACTAGACAAACATTAAAGAGGGATCCAAAGCATGTGGCTAAGTCCTAGCTATGTCCACTCCGCAAAAAGAAGTAGGCAGAAGTGTGCTAATATCTATGGCCTAGAAAGTTCTATAGAGACTTAATTTCTGTCAAGGGAGTCCTATTTTATGTGATTCCACACTAAAGACCTCCTATAAGGAAGTCTTTTAATGTAAGGATTCTCTGCTTGTACAAAAATAACTACCAAATACCGCTCTTTGGTGTGGGAAGAACTGGAAAGGGCGGGAAGCAGCCATAGACAAATATAACAAGGTACTCATATAGAGATTCGTTTCATTAAAAGAGACCCTGTTTCAAGAAACAAGTAACACAGGGAGGGGGTAAGCCAAATTCCTCCAGGGTGTGAACTACTTTGATCATAGTTTTCTTCCAAATACCAAGACATGATCAGCTTAGGGAATCAGAGGGAATGAGATTTTTTAATTTGGATCACAGAAATAAAGATGAAAAGCACTTGAGAGTCCATCTAGTTCAAATTCTCATTTTCCATGAGGAAACTAAGAACCAGGAAGCTTGTCTCTTGTCCAAAGTCACACAGGTGATAATCATGACACGCTGAATTTGAATCTAGGTCCTCTGGTTTCACAGGGTCTCTTTACACATCAGATCCTTTTGGAACATGACCCTCAGGTGGCTCCTGGGAGAAAAGTGAGGGTGGTAGGAAGAGGAACCACTACCCTGAAGGTAGCCTCAAGAGCCCAAGGCAAGAGAATGGAGTACAGAAAGGTGATAGGAAAGGATAAAAAAAACAAGCAAATCTTTTCTGATTTTTAATTTTGTCTTAAGTTAAGCCCTGATCAATCTCAGGAGCCACTGAAAATTACATATACTAGATTACATATACTAGTCCCATGTTATTATTTCCAACCTGTTCTAATTAATTTGCTTTGTCTTAAGCATGAATAAACAAAAACCGAAACTCAAAAATAACACACACACACACACCCCTTCCCTCAATAGTGTCCAGAGAAACAAACAGTAGGGAAATCTTGAAAACCAAACAGATAATGAAATGTGAAGAGCTGATTCTCCTCTTGACATTCCATCACTTGCCAAGGTGACGCAAAGGGCTCTGTCCTTGGCGCCTGCCTGGGTAACGAGACCTCAGTGCACAAATGCTGACCCTCTGAACACATACCTGAAGGAAAAGCCCAATGTGTCCCTTGCCACCACTCTGCTTTTTCACTTTTGGTTTATCTTCGCTTAGAGAGGAATCCTTTCCTTTCGTTCCTGCAAATATAGATACGTATGTCCTCAACAATGGTTTATTGATTGATAGACTTGGCTATTCTCAGCAATACAATGATCGAAAACAATTCCAAAAGACTCGTGATGGAAAATACTATCCACATCCAGAGAAAGAACTATAGAGTCTGAATGTGGATTAAAGCATACTATTTTCACCTTTTTGTTGTTTTTTCTTTCTCTTGGTTTTCCCCTTTAGTTCTTATTCTTCTTTCACAACATGACTAATGTAGAAATAGGTTTAACATGATTGTACATGTATAACCTATATCAAATTGCTTGCAAAGGGAGGAGGGAGAAGGAGGGAGAAAAAAGTATGGAACTCAAAATCTTATAAACGTTGAAAACTTTCTTTACATGTAATTGGAAAAAATAAAATACTATTAAAAACACAATGGCTTATTGAAAGGCTATTAACTACAGCACACCACCTGTAAGAACACGCAATAAAAACTATACAAAGGCAGCAGATAAAGCCAAAGACAAATGGTAAAGGCTATGAGACTTTCAAAGGAGAAAGAACACTAGCAACTAGGATGGTAAAGGAAGGCTTTATGGACATGCAAATTGACCTAAGACTTTTTTCAAGTTATATTCATGTAGGAGTGTAAGGGGGAAATAAGGAATTAGGACAAGGCAGGTAAGGGAAAAGGTTGGGAACCTGATTGAGGAGAGATCAAAAACAGCATGTTCAAGGAAAGAGGAATTCAGGCAATACTTCTGGATCAAAAGCTGCACATTGGGGATGGATGGACAATAAAGTTGAAAAGATAAGCTTTGTGAATGGGATTGACAAGGGCCATTAATACTAGGTGAAGGATTTTTAGATTTTATCCTCTGAGCCACAAGCTCAGTTTCTGAATGAGTAAATGACATGGCTAAAAAAATGTTTTGAGAAGACAATTTTGAGGTTGGACTAACAGCTAGCAATAACATAGAGCTTTAAGGTTTGCAAAATACTTTACATGTTATCTCTTTTGACTCCCACAACAACTCTGTGAGGTGGGCACTGTTATTCTTGTTTTACAAATAAAGAAACTGAGGCTGAGGTCAAGTGACTTATCCGGCATCACACAATTTGAAACTGTCTGAGGCTGGATTGAAATTCAGGTCCTCCTAACTACAAGTGTAATACTCTATCCCAGGTCTGCACAACCTTTGGTGTGCATGTGGACCATAAGCAGCCCAAGGGCCACAGGTTGTGCAGGCCTGCTCTGTCCCCAACATCACCTCAAAGCCCGTCTATCCCTTGTCTCTAGCCTTACTTAATTTTCGTACTCCAGAGCTTATTGGACATCTCTATGTGAATGACCCACAGGCACTCAGACTCAACATATCCAAATTTAAATCTGTAATAAGCTCAGTCACCTAGTTTCAAAGTTTTATCATTTTTGACTCTTCACCCTTCCTCACACCCAGCGTCTAGTCAGTTGCCAAGTTGTCCAGATTTTGTTTCAACATCTCACAGCTATGCCCTTCCTTCCATTTACATCACCTTCACTCTAATTCAGGCCCTTAACATTTCTTAACTGGCATATTGTAAGAGCTTCTTGGTCTTACTTCCTTAAGTCTTTCCTCTCTCCAATACATCCTTTTGCACAGCTGCCAAAATAATCCTCCTAAGTCAAAAGGGCTGATCATGTCACTGCCCTGCCCAGATTTAAAAAGAAAATCAATAGCTCCTTCTACAGCCTAGCATTTAAGGCCTTCTACAATCTGTCTCTAACCTACTTTTCCAAACTTATTTCATTTTATTACCCCCTTCATAAACTCTGTATTTTAACCCAGTTTGATCAATTCCCTTGCCTTTTTATTATACATAAGGGAGCATATCATCTTGGTGATTCAAAAGTCTCACCGAACAATCATTAAGTACTATACAACAATCAACAACATTGCCAGTTTGCTGTTGTCTAGGCAAGGGGTCTTTAATTCTTCTATGTCATGGACCACTTTGGCAGTATGCTGAAGCCCACATATCCGTTCTCAGAATGTTTTGAAATGCATACTGTAAAATAAATAAGATAACGAGGGAAATAAATTATATTGAAGTACAATAATACAGTACAATAAACATTTATTAAGTGTCTGCTATGTGCCTGGCACTGGAAATGCAAGGCTAACTAGGTATAGATTTGCTACAATCTAGTCCAAAGCAAAGCATAAGTAGTTAAGGCAGGGAGGCCTTTCCACTACAGTAAGAGAATTCAACTGAAAGCCAGGTTATGTGGTCTCACTAACAGTGTATCCAAATGTGCAGCTGCTGGACAAGCCTTATCAAGGCAAGCCAAACTAAGCCGGAAGTCCTTGATTAATGTTCCAGCCTCAAGAGGCCTCCCTCCAGTAGTAGGGATCGTAATAAGGGGCAAAACACTTAAAAATAAAGTTTGATACACATAATAATAATCAATGTTGGATGGGTTGTAGGCCCCTAAGCACATTAGTATAATGTTGGTGGGGCTGTCAATCAGTACAGGCATTTTAGAAAGCAATTTGCAATTACATAAATTAATAAACACAAATGTGATAAATGCAGAGAAGCATAAAAAGAATATGAGCTGCTGCAGAATGAAGTTATCAGAGCCAAGAAAGCACAATGCCCATACCAATACAAAATGGAAGGAACAACCACCAAAAAACAACTGAAGGTGAACGTTGCAAAATTACAAAGAACAAGTGCATTCCTAAAGAAAAAATGTAAGAAAACACCACCACTGTCACCACCTCCTCCTATGCAGAGGGGGGAGATCCACAGGTGTAGAATATTGCATGTATTTTCATATTTTTGGATATACTGATCAGTTTTGCTGATTGTTTTTCTCTTCTTTCTCTTTTTCTTTTAAAAAAATATTCTAGGTCATATGGTACGGCTCTGTGGGAGGGGAAACGGAAAGTTAAGCAATGTAAAAACAAAAGATAGCAATGAAAAGGTATTTTAAAATGTATCTGTATTTATTTACATAAAGAAAGATTGAGAGCCAGACAGAGTGTTTAAATTCATTCCAGTGCTTACCTTTCTTTTGCTTCCTAGGTAATCTTATCGATGTCATATCATCTGATTCGGCTTCAAATAGTTCACTGTCCTCTTCGTTTGCATTTAATTCTCTTATTAAATCTTCAATGGCAAAGGGAGCTTGCTCCAAAATTGCTTCAAAGATACCTCCGACTATATTATACAGCAAAGTAGAACTAAAGAGGAGAAACATGAACTATAAATGTGAAGTTTAAATATGGTTAAATTAGCATAAACTTTAAAACCCCAACTAACCACTAGAGAGAACTCAACGGAGTTGTGGTTATTTTCTACATTAGTGCATTCTTTCACAAATGATCATTACTCTTTTTTTCTCCCTAAAATGAACAATTATTTCAGAAAAAGTCATTCTGAATGGCTCAAAAACAACTAAAAGAATAGTTAAGCCCAACAAAGACAATATATAAACTTACTCCTTTGTCTTAGCTGCAATTTTGCAGAATGGAACAATAAACTTCAGGTTTTGATCTGCTGTAAGCTATTTAAGAAAGATAATAAAAGTTGTTTAAGTGAAGCTTCAAAGACAGAAGAAATTATTCCCTAAGCCCAAGGTTCATGTCTAGATTCTCCTTACCTCTTCTGCTCCTACTTTAGTCAGTTCTTCTAAGTAGATGTCAATAAAGTGGGACTTCACTCCACAAGGTGCCTGACTGTCTGGGTTCAAAATTTCTTTCACTAGGATATCCACAAGTAGTTCAACCTGACTGAGGGAACCAGAGGGAGGGTGGTAGAAAAGGCAACCAGTTATTAAAATAAAAAATTAATTATTCTTTCCTTGCATTCAAGTCATTAAGTCAGTTGACCAAGAAAAAATTATTCAAATAAAGTCAAAGACAGGTTTTTAAAAATGCTACAAAAATAGCAAAAATTCTAAAGACCAAAAAAGCAAGACTAATTAAAAGACTCATGAATCAAATTTCTTATTTCCACTCTATTGTAAAGAATCCTATTAATTTAACATCTTACTTAATGATTATAGGTAGCAGGGTAACATATTTATACTATGAAGTACAAAATGATGGTACTATCCATTTGATTTTCCATCAACTCACACTTACAGCACTTTTTCCTGACAATAACCCTGAGGCAGACAACTCATACGCATTTAAGAAAATAAAATTCTATAGATCCACCTATGTTCTAAGATTTATTTATAAATTTAGAAAATGCAAAAATAACACTTATCCATCGATACTTATCTAAACCATTGCTAGTACTTTTTTCATTCTAGACTTGAAATACAAACAGCCAAAGTATAAATATTAACTGTGGCAATGAGCAATTGACTAAATGCATAAAAATATGCCATTTCTTCTATGAAGCATTCCCTGATTCCCTAAGCTGAAAATGTTTAGTTTCTCCTCAAATTTTCCCAGAGTACTTTGTCTGGTAGGGCAGCTAGGCCAGCGGATAGAATGTCAGTTCTGAAGTCAGGAAAACTTATCTTCCTGAATTAAAATCTGGCCTAAGACACTTACTAGCTATGTGACCCAGATCTAGTCACTTAACCCTGTTTGCCTCAGTTTCCTCATCGGTAAAATGAGCCAGAGAAAGAAATGGCAAACCACTCCAGTATCTTTCCCAAGAAAACCCCAAAATGAGGTCAGAGTCAGACATGACTAAAAAAATGACTAAACACACCGTTTCTCTCCTTTGACTCTATCACAACCAACCTTGTACAAAATGGTGCATTAATTACTTCAAATGATCATAACAATGAATGTTTGTATAAGTGTGATTTTACCAATACCAGGCTGACTCTGAAGTCTGAACACTGACCAAATGAATCTTGATTGAGCTAGTATCCCCACCATTAGTTAATTAAGTCAGTTCAGTGCCAGATTTTGTGCCATAAAGAAGTGCTTTATTATACCCCTTTATTCTACTTTTCATTCTGTGGTTTTTAAGAAAGGGAATGTGGGGGCAGCTAGGTGGCACAGTGAATACAGCACTGGCCCTGAAGTCAGGAGGACCTGAGTTCAAATCCGGCCTCCAACCAAACACTTGACACTTACTAGCCAAAAAAAAAAAAAGAGAGAAAGGGAGTGTGTAAAACTTGTAGCTCTTAAAGAGGGCATTTCAAAAACTGTTAGAGATATTGTAGTAGCTGTTAGTATATAGAAGTCAAGCTTTTCAAAGATTATTCAATCCTAAGATGAAATAGGCAGGTGGATCAAAATACAAATGAAAGTTTGGTTGAAAAAGAGAAATATAAAAAAGTGAAAAACTATTGTACAACAGACTGATTAAATCCTCAAAAAAAAAAAGTGGGTTATGGATTCTTTTAGAGTGTGGAGTAGACTTTCTGAAGTTCAAAGCAAGAATATCAACAGCAGTAAAAAAAAAAAATCTGCTAATCATTGCTATGAAACAACGGGCAAGACAATATAAATACTTTTTTCATTCCAGGCTACACCAAAACCATTGTCAGAAGTCCAAGGGAGTGTCTATGATCTAGGCATCTTCATCAGACTATAAAACATTCACCCCAAAAAAGGAATGGGGGATTTAACTCCCAGTGGAGCTGGAATTCTTGTCTCAACTGAAGGAAAGATGAAGTTAGATAAGTATACTGATATACTGAGAAGGAGAATTGTTTTGGAATTATAAAAATTCCAAAAGAAGCCTGAATACTCCAACATGATATGACACCATGCTATATACTGTATCTTCTGGAAGATAAACCAAAGCTAAAGATAAACATGTTTCAATAGCCTGGGAACTCATTTAATTTAAACCTCACTGAAAACCTGTGCACTATAATCAAGGCTACACTTAGAAAAGTGGATTCTTCAACAAACAGTCCATTTATTCCACTTAATAGCCAAGTGTGGTTTCATGATGAAAAACTCAAGACATATCAAAATCTTATAAATTCAACACCAGAATTGTATAAAAACAAGTGACTACAGCAAAAAAGGAATCCTTTTAAGAGTTTTTCTTAATATCTAAACTTCTATGGTTTATTATATGTCCAAAAATGTAATTATTTTCTTTTGTTCCAGTTAATTTGCATATCATTGTGGCATACTTATCAGTATTTATGTCATATCCCTTCCTCCACTCCCAACAGAAGGTAAGCTCTTTGAGGGCAAAGAGTGCTGTCTTTTCTTCTTTGTATGTCCAATGCCTGGCACAGTGTCTTTGATACAAATGCTCACTGTCTTAAGTCAATATAAATTTAAAAATCTCTTCCTAACCCAATGAGACTTTTCCAAGTATGACAAAAACCAGGCATATGAACTCATCAGGAGAGATGTGGCTTTGAATCCTCTAACACTTAGTTAGATAAAGCAAGTAATTTCATCTTTTGGAATCCCAGTTTCTCAATCTTCAAAACAGGAGTAATATTTTTTACTAACTGACTTAACTGGTTGTATGAAATAAAATATATTCTTAGTTCCTTACTGTGTAACATTAAAGAATGACAAATCACTTAGCACCTTTCCTTACTTGCACCATACTGTTATTCACTGGCATGTAAGTAAAAAATTTAAAAATTATTTACTTAGTCTACTGTTAGATACTGTGGGAGATACAAAAATGAATTCAATATATTCCTCATCCTCAAATAATTAAAAATAAGACTCAGCTATATATCTAAGGCTCTTTCCAGTTCTATAACTTCAAAGGAAAAACAGATCTACATACAAATAATACTGTAACGCCTTCCACTTAATTATTGGAAGTGTAGATTACCCAGAACTTTTCATTCCTTCCCTTCAACAGCCTGTTTACTGCTACCTCACTGCTCTTTATCGCCCCCATGCGGAGAATAGCAGAGATGGAAGATTTAATTTAGCTAATTTCCTTCTGCTGGGGTCAATTCATATTGTTGTTGTTGCACCTCAGGGCAGTGGCTATAGACACCAGGAAGCCTTCCAATCCAAAATTCCAACACCACCAAGCAAATATGGGGAGTAAGGTGATTAACAGCTGCTTAAGATGAGAGATAGACTATAAAAAGACAAACAGTCAATCACTTAGGTTGAGTATATGAAAATTTTAATTTTTACAAATAAAATTTGAGGTAGGCTCATAATAAGATTAGCTAACATTTATATAGCACTTAAGGTCTGCAAAGTGTTTTACATATATTATACCTCATTTGATCCTCAAAAAAAACCCTATAAGGTAGACATTATTATCTCCATTTTATAGATGAGGAAAATGTGACTCAGAAAGGTTAATTTATCATAATTTAGATTTGACTGATCCACGGTTTCCTAAAAATATTTCAGATCTTCCAACCCAAAATTCCAAACCCAACCATTTTGTGATCCCGTCTACCTTTAAATACATAAATAAATTGTACTTTAACAAAAAACAAACAAACAAACAGAAAACCTTTTAATCGCTGAACTAGTCGGTTATAAAATGAGTGCTTTGCTCTGGGGATTTCATTGTCTGACAGTATGAATCATTCTATAATAGAATTCACTGACCTTTCCTCCCATCCATTTCTTTTTAATGCCTCGAAGGACTGGTTCAGAAGCAGGCGCATTAGCTTTGATACAAAAGAAGAATTAGTAAATGAGAAATAAAAATATAAGCTTTACCACAAAGATAAAAAAAGGCAGGGTAGTTATCACCATGTGATTAGGATATCTATCTGATAGCTCCAACCTTCCCAGTGTTAAAAGTTTTAAGCTCATGGTCAGATATGAAAATTTTCCTTGTAACTAACATTGTAACTAAAGCAACAAGTATCAGTTTTCTTTCTGGAGGGAGGCTGGCTCCTCTTAAAACCTGGGAAAGAAACTTCTCATAAGCCTTTTTACTTAGCACCTAAACTCAACTGAGATTCTTCGGCAACTTTTTTCCTGACCAGGCCTCATATCTGGTAGCAGGATACTTAAGCTGCTTCCACAATTGCCTTTTACAATGAATTTTGTGCATTCACCTTTTCCATTTCACGCTATGTGGTCAACCACCAGAGGCTCCTAGATTAGGGCAGAATGCATCAATTTTGGCCACCTCACCCCAGCAAGAAGCATTCAATTTCTTTTCCCTTTTTTTTAAACTTTTTATTCATTTTAAACTTAAATACAAAATGAGAAAAGAAAAAAAAAACATTTCCATGTACACAGCAGAACACAAGAGAAGATTCAATACAAAACAATACATTTCCATTTCAAGAAAACCTATACATTAAATACTATACATTGTTTACAAAGCTACCCAGCTTTTCTCTGCTTCCTTCTAGGTTTTCTTTTGTTTTCTGCTGTACACTTTTTGCTTTTTTTCCCCTCCTCTCTCCCTTCCCCAAAGAAGGATACAATTAAAAGCAGACAGACACACACACACACACCCTATAAACATACACATATATACACTTCTACACATATATGTAAACTCATACTACACATATTTCTTTCTCTGGAGGTGGACAGTATATTCCTTCATAGGTCCTAGTCTTTCCATGTTTTTCTAAATAAACCAGCTCCTCATTTCCTACACCACAGCAGTATTTCAACATCAATCACAACCCAGCTGAGAGATTGTCTATGAAAGTTTTCCCCCTTTCTGCATTCTTTATATTCTTGGCTACACTGGTTTTATTTATACAAGAAATTTTTAATTTAAAATAACCAAAATTATCCATTTCATACTTCAACAATGATCTTGACTTATAATAAAATAGTTTATGGTCTGATACTGCTGAATCTCCTTCCTTTACATCTTTTTTCCCTGGTGTCTTTGAAATTCTGGACCTTTTGTTCTTCCAAATGAACTTTGTTATTATTTTTTCTAACTCAGTAAAATATTTTTTTTAGTAATTTAATTTGGATGGCATTGAATAAAGAGATTAACCAAGTAAGAAACATTCAGCTTCAAAGCACAGGTTATACTTCCCTAGAGGCAGAACAGCTATAGGCCATACCCCATTCCTCTTCTCAGCAATCACTATTAAAACGAAATAACAACTACGAGGCAGCCAACTAGGAAACTGAACCTCTCCCTAACACAAATACAGCCCGCCCCACTTTGCATGGGGAATGCGCGTGAGCCCATCTCTCACCGTGTAGAACTTATCCAAGCGCAATCGGTCTATTCCAATCCACTCACGGCTCATGGTTTGCCAAAAAGTCTGAACAAACAGGTGCTCTACAGCAGAACAAAGGAGAACACCAAGGATTATCAATAATCTGTAAAACAACTGATAGAAAATACTTTGATAATGAATGCACTGACCAATCATGACTTCAGAAGACTGATGGTGACGCATGACTGAGACACAGAACAATGAACACATTTTCAAACATGGCCAATGTGTTGATTTGTTTTGCTTGACTAGACTGATCTGTTACAAGAGAAGGAAGGGAGCAAGGGAGAGAATCCCTTGGAAGTAACAGCTATATAAAGAAGAGCATTAAAAAACCAATTTTTATAAAAAGGTGAACATAGTCTGCAATCTTGATTTATTCATTTTTTATTATCCTGTGACTTTTGATGTGTTTTCCTAAACAAGAAATAATCTTATAATAAAGGAGTAATATGAGGGAAAGTAGGAAAGAAAACAATGAATTTTATCAATGATAAAACCTCCCTGTGATACATGTAATTTCTTTATTTGTAGGCCACAGACAAGGAGTACAATGCTTCCCACTAACCATTCTTCAATACAACAAACTCACCGGGGCAAAGGATCTTATCAAGAAATTGAGTCATCGGGCAGCTAGTTGGCGCAGTGGATAGAGCACCAGCCCTGGAGTTGGGAGGACTCAAGTTCAAATACGGCCTCAGACACTAACACTCATTAGCTATGTGACTCTAGGCAAGTCACTTAACCCCAACTGCTTCACAAAAAAAGAAAAAGAAAAGAAAAAAAGAAATTGGGTCATCAACCTCCAACACCTTAAGGAATGAAAACAGATAAGCACATATTAACTGCCAAACTGGGGATACAAATATGTCCCCAAGGAGCTTATACTCTAATGGAGGAGACAACATATACAGGGGAATGGTAGCCAGAGAAGGGTGTTGTGGTCCGAGGGGATCCAACAAGGTTGATGAATAGAATAATCAGGAAGTTAATTCATAAGCCCTTTTTAGAGGCAAGGTTAAAGTTCTGAGATGGCCAATGGAAAGGTATAAATTTGGGATTTGGTGAGGGGGAAGGGATGAAGAAATAGTTGGCAACAGGGCAGAAAATGGCTAGGATACAGGTCAAATTGCCTGATCATGGAGTTTAGAGCTGAGTGTCTTAGCTTGTTACCTGTGTGACCCCAGAGGAAGAAGTCACTTCTCTGTAGGTCTCAGTTTCCTCAGTTATAAAATGAAGGGGTTAGACCAAAATGAATTCCAAGTTCCCCTCCACCTATAAGTATATGATATCACAATCTATCCACCTACATCTGGTATATACAAACCAGTTATCAATCTATCCAACAGGCCAAGAGCAGTCGTTAGACCTAGGTTATAAGAACGGGCACTCGTGAAAAGCACAGGAGTTTCCCTGTATCTATGTATAAGACAGTATTTGGGGGAGGAGGAAGTGAAGGGAAGAAGCTCATGTATAGAAGCAATCAAAATTTCAAAGATTGATAACTTCTCCATTAAAATTCTTTAAAATGTCTGCTTTGGGTGATGACTGACTAGGACAGAAGCTAAAAAAAAAACACAAAACACCTGAATAATGGAATATTCTGTCCTTCCAATAATAAAACTGACTAGGGCTTACATTAGTATCTCTAGTTCACCTTGTCTGTTACTTATGCTTCATGCTTTTATGTATGTATACCTGAAGCCATGGGTTTTATTGGCGGCTTCTTTCTTAGATTTTGTCTCCTATAAATTACTTGATATCTCTACTGTTACAAGCTTTCCCTACACTGTTGTTAGTCTCAATGGCATCTAGTTTGGTAGACAGATAAAGCAGTTTTAATTTTGCCTTTCTCTTATCTTTTTAGTTGAAAGCATTCTTGATTAGATTTTTAAAATATCAAGCAAATACATTTTTTTAACTAGCCCTTATAACAGTACATTATTCCTATACTGTAAGCGATGATCCAGAAAATGAAACTTCATCTGGACACACCATCTTGTTAACCAGGCATTCATTCCCCAAATTTACCTCTCTCTTCCTAAGTCTGTATTTAACTGATAGCAACAATGAAAACACCAAGTGGTTCCTTAAGATGACCTTCAGTTTCTTGCCCAGACCTCCAAAATCGTTAGCAACACTTTCTGGATTCCTTCCGCAGGGTCATAGGATTATAAATCTAGAGCTGGGGGTTCTCAACCCTTTCTTTGTCACCGCCAGTCTGGTGAAACTTTTGGAGCCCATCTCAAAATAATGTTTTTAAATGCACAGGTTTACAAATTTAAAAATTATACTGAAATAAATATGTAATTTTTTTAAGCATTTAAATTCCCAGACCCTAAAATCCATCCACAGGCCATGGACCCCCAGTTAAGAACCCCTGATGTAGAGCCAGCAGGGACCTCAGAGGACATCTTATCCAACTCACTTATTTTACAGTTGAAAAAACTGAAGCCCAGGGAAGTTAGATGACTTGCCAATATTATTCAGCCTCACGTAACAATAAAAAACAAATTGTAGTTATACTTGTTAAGTCTTGAGAGGTATCTGATCGTGTTTTGAATGCTTATCCCAGGAAAATGGTAGTATTACTACTAATATCAAGCTGGATTAAAAAAAAAAACAACACAAAAGCAAAACTCCTACATCAAATACTAACTACCACTGTTCACTTTAATTTATGATATCTTATTTTTACAAAAAAAAAAATTTTCTCAAAAATATTTTACCCACATCCCCTGTAATAAAGAAAGAAAGATAAAAAACAGTTTACATACTACTCCCAACACAATTCCACTGATTCTCACAGGACAGTATGAGGTCACCAAAAAAGCAGAGACAAAGCATCTGGGAGGCCTAGGCAAAGTTTCAAAATTATCTCCCTTGTGTTACTGTCTGCTGGAAATTTTAAGCCTTCATTATAAATGCATGCAACTTGACACACTACAATATACTTACATCCTACAGAGAACCTAATATTGCATGATGATCAACTATAAATGACTTAACTCTTCTCAGCAATACAATGATGCAAGACATTTTCAAAGGACTAATTAGAGAAAAGGCTCTCCATATCCAGAGAAATAACTGATGGAGTCTGAACACAGACCAAAGCATACCATTTTCACAGTTTGTTTTTTTTTTTTTTTGGTCTGTTCCTTCTTTCACAACACGACTAATATGAAAATATTTTACATGACTGAACATATATAACCTATATAAAACTGCTTACTACTTTAGGAAGGGGGAAAGGGTGGAGGGAGAAAATCTAGAACTCTAAATTTAAAAAAAAAAATGAATGTCAAGGGGCAGCTAGGTGATGAAAGTAGATAGCGCACCAGTCCTGGAGTCAAGAAGACCTGAGTTCAAATCTGGTCTCAGACATTTGACATTTACTAGCTGTGTGTCCCTGGGCAACTCATTTAACCCTTGATGGCCTTGCCGAAACAAAAACAAAAAAATGAGTGTTAAAAATTGTCTTTACATGTAATTGGAAAAAATGAAATAGTATTTCTAAAAATTATGTAAGAGGCAATATTAAAAACTGTCTCTCACTGCCAAGTCACTGGTTTCAAACTCAAATGCTAACAGAGCCACTAAACCTTACATTAGGATCCCTGCAGGCTGCATATTGACTTAGAAAAACATTTTAACACTATCTATATTCTGTTATATTTTTATTTTGTTAAACGTTTCTCAATTACATTTTAATCTGGAGTGTTGCTAGCTGAATACCCTAGGTAATCAATTACCTTGATTACACTTAAGTCCTGCTTCTAGTTATCAGTAGCTATGGTTTTTGACTACTATACCTACCTAAGGAGAACTGATGTAAAATCAGTATTTCCTGTGGCAAGAGTATCACCTGTTAATACCTTACTAAAAAGGAATATTATTCTTTTATAGTATTAATGCTTAAACAACAGACCAAGGCAACAAAGGTGTCAGGATTTCAATGGCAATTAGCCACATATAAATTAACCAGGAAAAAGAAGCAGTACAAACAAACAGAATTTAATCACATACTAAAATTCCACTGGCCTCTGAGAAATTCCACAGGTTCTGGCTGAGTCTTTCAAGTAGGAGGGAATCTATGAAATAGTTGTATTGATTGGCATAAATTTGAGAAGCTAGTTATTGATTGATTGATTAGTTCTGATCTACAAAGGTCTAAACTCAGCATTTAAAATACATCTTAAATAAGGTCACAATATACTTACGGGATTCTGTGTTCTGAAAAACATGAATGAGCTGGGAAATTGTATTTCCAAGTTCCTCCTGTGCAGGAAACAAACAAAAAAAAATTCCCCTGGTCACTACATGAATGTGGCTCTAATGAATGGGGGAAAAAAAAAGTAATTGTTTACTATATGACAAGCATTGTGCACAGAGCTAGTTCCTGTTCTCAAGAAGCTTACACTCTAAGTGAGGGAGACAACATATCAAAAAAGAACTCAGCTACGGGGAAAACAGAAAGGCCCAGCAGTCCTAAGGAGTCCTTGGGTTGCATTAGTACGTCAGATGACAGTGTCTGGGGGTCTGCAGGAAGAGAGGGAGAAGAGGGATGGTGACAGGGGGATAGGAAGGAAAGAATGGAGAAAGGAAGGAAGGAGTGAGAGAGGGAAAGAGGGAGGGAGGGAAGGAGTAAGGAAGAGAGATAAGAATTTTTAAAGAGCCTACTATGTAACCTATACATACAAAAACATTTACAGCAGCTCTTTGCAGTGGCAAAGAATTGGAAACTGAGGGGATGCCCATTAATTGGGGAATGGCTGAACAAGTTGTGGTATATGAATGTATTATAGTGCTATAAAAAAACGATGAAAGGGATTGTTTCAGAAAAACCTGAGAAAGCTTAAATGAACTGATGCAGAGTAAAGTGAACAGAACCAGGAGAGTATCATACATAGTAACAGCAATATTGTAATGACTATCAACTATGAAAGACTTACCTATCAATACAATGATTCTTGACAATTCCAAAGGAGTCATGACAAAAAATGCTATCTACCTCCAAAGAGAGAAACTAATGAACTCTGAATACAGACTGAAGCAGTTTTTAAATTTTATTTTTCCTGCCTTTTTTCTTTGCAACCTGGCTAATGTGGATATAGATTTTGCATGATATGTTTTCATATGCATGAAGGGCACCATATTTCTTGTCTTCTCAATGGGCTGAGGAGGGGGCGGAGTGAGAGAATTTCGAACTGATAATAAAAATTTTTTTTAAGGGCTTATGATGTATCAGGCACTGTGCTAAGCACTTTATATATATCTCACTTAATATACACAACAACCTCAGAAGGAAGGTGATGTTATAAGTCTCATTTTACAGTTGAGGAAAATGAGGCAAAGAAAGGTGTTTTTTTAAGTGATTTGCTCGAGGTCACACAGCTATCTAAGTGTCTGAGGCCTGATTTGAACCCCAGCCTTCCTGACTATAGGTCCAATGCTGTTACCTATTTACACCACTTAGCTAGCAGACTGTAGAGGTACCTAAACCTGGGACAGCAATAACAGAGAAAGAAAAGTATAGCCCAGTTAATGTATATTGATGCAAAAATTTTAAATAAAATGTTAGCAAGGAGATTACTGTAATATATCACAAAGATCATACACTATGACCATGTCAGATTTATGCCAGAAATGAAGGGCTGATTCAATATAAGGAAAACTAAAAGCATAAGTGACCATATCAATAATGATAACAAAAATTATATTATTATCTCAACATAGGCAGAAGAAGCTTTTGACAAAATACAACATTCATACCTTTAAAAACACTAGAAGGCATTGGAATCAATGAAGACTTTCTTAAAAATAATAATTACTATCTATCTAAAACCAAGAGCAAGCATTATCTGTAATGGGGATAAACTAGAAGCCTTCTCAACAAGATCAGTAGTGAAGCAAGAACGTCCATTATCACTACTATTATTCGATACTGTTCTAGAAATGATAGCTATAGCAATAAAACAAGATAGAAATTAAAGGAATAAAAACAGTCAATGAGGGAACAAAGTTATCATTCTTTGAAGATGATATGATGTCATACTTAAAGAACCCTAGAGAATCAACTAAAAATCTAGTTGAAACAATGAACAACTTTAGCAATGTTGCAGGATAGAAAATAAATCCACATAAATTGTTAGCATTTCTATATACTACCAACAAAACCCAGCAGCAAGAGATAGAAAGAGAAATTCTATTTAAAATAACTGCAGCCAACATAAAATATTTGAGTCTACCTGTCAAGACAAACCTAAGGATTATATGAACACAATTATAAAACACTTTTTACACAAATAAAGACAGTTCTAAACAAGTGGAGGAAAACAACAGTTCTACTTAAGTTAATTTACTTATTCAGTGCCATACCAATCAAACTACCAAAGAATTATTTTGTAGAGCTAGAAAAAAAAGTAATAAAATTCATCTGGAAGAACAAAAGGTCAATATCAAGGGAATCGACGAAAAAAAAATGTTAAGAAAAGCAGCCTATAAGTTCCAGATTTCAAACTATTCTACAAAGTAATAATCCTCAAAACAATCCGGTACTGGCTAAGTGGATCACTGGAATTGATAAGTGGTGGTGGATCACTGGAATAGATTAGGTACACAATACATAGTAGTAAAAAGACCACAGTAATCTAGTGTTTTATGAACACAAAGATCTATACTTTTGGGGTAAGAACTCAATATTTGACAAAAATTTCTGGGAAAACTGGAAAGCAATTTGGAAGAAGTTATGCATAGATCAACATCTCACACCACATACCAAGATAAGGTTCAAACGATAAATGATTTAGACATCAAGAGTGATATCATAAGTAAATTAGGGGAGCATGGAAAAAAATACCTTTCAGATCTATGAATAAGAGAGGAGTTTATGATCAAACAAGAGATAGTGGAGATTATGGGAAGTAAAACAGATAATTTTGATTACATGAAATTAAAAAACTTGCACAAACAAAATGAATACAGACAAAATTAGAAGGAAAACAAGAAAAAATGTGTGTGGGGGGCGGGTTTCCAGCAAGTTTCTCTGATAAAGGTCTCATTTCTCAACTATATAGGGAACTGAGCCAAATGTATAAAAATAAGAGCCATTCCCCAGTTGATAAATGGTCAAAATATATGAAAAGGCAGCTTTCAAAAAAAATCAAAGCTATTAATAGTCACATGAAAAAATACTCTAAATCACTGATAAGAGAAATGCAAATTAAAATGATTCTGAAATATTACCCTACACCTATCAGATTGGCTAATACAACAGAAAAGGAAAATGACAAAAGCTGGAGGAAATGTGGCAAAACTGGGACACTAATGCACTGCTGGAGTTGTGAAGGAGTCCAATCACTCTGGAGAACAATTTGGAATTATAGCAAAAGTGCTATAAAATTGTGCATATCCTTTGTCCAAGGGCTTCCTAGTCAAAGAAAAAATACTGCAAGCAGCTAGAAAGAATTCAAATATAGCTCATAGCCAGGATCACACACAATTAAGAAGTCACTGCTATAAAAGGAACAAAGAACTTGGAATACTATATTCCAGAAGGCAAAAGATACACGTTTACGGTAAAAAATTAATTAACCAGTAAAACAGAATATAATCCTACAGGGGGAGACAAATGGACCCTTAATGAAGTAAGAGCATTTCCAAATATTCCTGATGAAAATACCAGAATTTTGAAGTTCAAACACAGGAGTGAAGAGAAACATAAAAAGGTAAATATGCATGAACAAGGACTAAATAAGGATAAAATGCTTACATTGAAATATGAGGATATGACTTTCCACCAGCGCCACCATATTCCAGTGAGTTGCCAAAATGATGAACACAAAAGGAAAAAGGAGAGGGACATGATACATGTTTTCGAGGCCCTTTTGAATACATGGTGTTGTCCCTCTGGCTACGTATATGCAAATATACAAGAAAGGTGATATTGTAGATATGAAGGGCATGAGCACAGTTCAGCAAGGAATGCCCCACAAATGTTACCATGGCAAGACTGGATGGGTCTATAATGTTACTCAACATGCTGTAGGCATTGGTGTAAACAAACAGGTTAAGGGCAAGATTCCAGCCAAGAGAATTAATGTGTGTATTGAGCATAAGCATTCTAAGAGCAGAGATAGCTTCCTGAAGCGGGTAAAGGAAAATGACCAGAAGAAGGAAGCCAAAGAAAAAGGTACTTGGGTTCAACTGAAGCGCCAACCTGCTCCACCCAGAGAAGCACAACTTGTGAGAACCAATGGCAAGGAACCTGAGCTGCTGGAACCAATCCCCTACGAGTTCATGACATAAATGGTGTAAACTAAAAACAATAAAAAAATTCTTGGGTTAAAAAAAGAAAGACATGAGGATATGAAATGTGTCACCTCTAAACTCATTATCATCAGGGATCACAGAGAGAGTCTAATTAGACAACCATCGTAAGTGGTTCAATTATATGATTATATTTCTTTCTGACAATTGGGGTTAAGTGACTTGCCCAGGGTCACACACCTAGTAAGTGTCAAGTGTTTGGTCTTAGGCCAGATTTGATCTCAGGTCCTCCTGACTTCAGGGCCAGTGCTCTATCTACTGCACCACCTAGCTACCCTTAATTATATGACAATCTTAAGAAGAGAAAGAGTGAAACAGGTATATACTGGGGAGGAAGGGTAGGATGGAAGGAACATTACAGAAAATCATATCATGTTATCAGAGTGCATAAATAAATATTTATACAAACAAGGAAGAGGGAATGGGACAGAAGGTGGGGGTGGGAATCGCTGACACTTGTACCTCACTCTCATCTGAACTGGTCAAAGGAGGAAAAAATAAACCCACTCAAACAGAGTTGGGTATAAGGATACATTTTGCTCAAAAGAAAAACAAGAGAGAAAGCGAAGAGGAAATTATAGGGAGAGTATATTAAGGATTAATCCTAAACAAAATAATTCCTAAGGACATACAAAATTATTTATAACTCTTTTTGCAGTAGCATAGTATGGGAATCCCAGGAGGTACTCATGAATTGAGGAATGGTTAAACAAGCGGTGGTGTACAAATGTGATGGAATATTCTCGTGCTGTAAGAAATGATGAAGGGGATGGTTTCAAAGAGACCTAGAAAAAGTTTTATGAACTGATGCTGAGTGAAGTAACAGAACCAGGAATGTATACAACAATGTTGAAAATATAACAGTTAAAGAATTAGGAACTCTGATCAATGTAATGACCAAATTAAGATTCCAGAGGTCTAATGCTATCCATCTCTTGATAGAGAGTTAAGACCCAGAGCACAGAATGACATGGACACAGAATGGCCAACATGGACATTTGTTTTTCTTGACTTCACATTTGTAACGAGATCTTATTTTTCCTTCCTTCTCAAGGGAAGGGTTGGGGGGAGGCAGATAAGGCAGATTTTTGCTGATTGAAAAAATATATGTAATTTTTAAATGCCTAGAAGAGAATGAAAGGAAGTTCAAAAGAAATACAAGGAAGCAGAGAAGCATAAAACAGAATGAATTTATTATAGACTTTAAACAAATTCAAGCTGTACCCAAGATATTTGCAGTTTCATGTACAATCTTTTTTCTTTTTCATATTCATTTGCTGGTGTTTGCTGAGTTCAGAACAACTGTGTGTGTGTGTGTGTGTGTGTGTGTGTGTGTGTGAGAGAGAGAGAGAGAGAGAGAGAGAATGAGTGAGTGAGACCAAACAAAGCATATTAATTAGTGTAAGCTGAAGATAAACATTTGTGGACCTGGAATAAGAATGGTTTCAGTGGCACCTTGAGGGAGGCTATTTATATCAGGGCTCAAGGCAATACTGAAAAGCAGAAGATATTTCTTTGTACTTTTCCATCTCCCTTTCTGATTCTTGTCCCCTACTTTGGGCTCAACACTAACTACACCTTTCCCCTAAAGTGTTAAATGTTCCAAAATCATCTATGACATAATGGAAAGGATTTAATCTAAATCTAAGAGGTTTAAATCTAAGCTCTAATATTTATTACCTATGTGACCTTGGACAAGTGACTTAACCTTCCTGGGCGCCTCAGTTCCTTCTTCTACAAAACAAGAAAGTTGAACTAATTCTATAAGAATATTCTAAAATACCAGTCATTCCAGATGTATAGAAAACTAATGATGCTGGCAATTATGACCCAATTTCTCTCCCTGCACTAACATAAGTATTGATCACCCTGGAAACTACTGGCAGACTGCTTCCAAATGTCCCTAATTCAACCCAAACTAAGAAATAGGATCTCACCTGTAGGAGAGGTTTGTCCTGCATCCACATACAGTAGAAAAGCCCTTTCCATATTTTTAGCAATTCTTCATGATTGAAACCACCTAAACAAAAACAAAAATGACATTTAAATTTCATTGGTCCAACCTTTCATATCTCTATATCTATATGTATATATAAAAATCAAAATTAAGAAGTTACCATAACATAATGAGGAATCACACAAACACCACAAAAGCAACACTTAATGAATAAATGCTGTCTTCACAAAAGAAAACATCAAGATTTTAAAATGTCAGTTTCGTAGGCATCTAGATGGTACAGTGAATTGAGTGTTAAGACTTGGAGTCAGGAAGATTTAAATTTGAACCTGACTTTAGCTGCTTACTATCTCTCTGTTACCCTAGGCAAGTCACTTAACCTCTTAGCCCTCAGTTTCTTCCTTTGTAAAATGAAATAACATCACCTACACCACACAATCAAACGAGATAATACATCTAGAGGTATCTGAAAACCTTAAGCAATATAAAGTTTTACTACTATTTCCTGTTTACAAATGAATAGAACTCATTAGAGAACGATTTTCATACTCCTCACTCCAAGCTGATCCCAAATTCATTCAGAGTAAAAATTGAAGGTTTTTTTCCTAATCTTGGAACATATAATCAGCAATATGACTCTACATTAAATATAGCAAAATGGCCTTAACACTAGAATGGCAGAATAGCCCTTCTGCATTTGGTGGTAATTCAAATTCAACTGAATTCAAGTTCAATGCAAACATTAAGTATTTATTACTTGCAAAGCACTTTGCTAGGTACTGCAATACGAAGACAAAATGTTCCCGAAGACAGATTATAGCCTTCTGATGAGGACACAATATGTACACAGATAAACATAATATAAAGCAGGAAAAGGCTGGCTAGTACTGTAGGAAAATTTGATGAGGGACTGAACACTCATGGTTGGGAAAAAACAGGAAAGACTTCACAGAAGAGGTGGCATCTAAGCTAAGACTTGGTAGAGACTTAAAAAATACATCAGTGATACTCTTCTGTATCACTATCACTATCCTCCCTCTTCACACCAATTCAGAAAGACAGAATTGATGAGAGAGCGAATTCCATATATAAGGAAATACGATAGAGACAGAGAGCTACAGACGGAGAGATAAAGCATTTGTTAAGTGCTTACTATGCACAGTATACCATGTTAAGCTTGTAGATAAAAACACAACTAAGACATTCTCTGACGCTTACATTTTAATGCAGGCATGTAACACACAAAAGGAAGCAAAAGTGGGAAGTAAGAGACCAGCAGCATAGTTTGGAGCTGATGGTTAGGAAGTGAGGTAAAAAGGTTTGGTTCCGGGCAAGATAAATTGAAAACCTAGCTATCAGGGTGCAGGGTGCCATATGAAAAAAAAAAGTTCCAAAAAATTAATGATTAGAGAAATGTAAATTAAAATAACTCTGAGGTTTGATTCACACCCATTGGTTGGCAAAAATAACAAAAAAGGAAAATGATAATTGTTGGAAGGGCCATGGGAAGGCAGGGACACTAATGTACTGATGGTTAAACAGTAAACTGATTAATTCCACCATTCTGGAAAGCAATTTAGACTTATATCCTCAAAGTGCCCTTTGATCCAGGGATAGCACCACTAGATCAAGGACAAGGGGAATATTGTTATGAATTATGAAGAACTGGAAACCAAGGTGGGTTCACATCAACTGGGGAATGGCTAAACAAAATTATGGTTTTGAATGAAATGAATTACTTCAATGGAAGCAATGACCTCTTGAAGTAGGTGACAGCTGAGCTGAGTTGAGGAAGCTACGCAGTTGAACAGACAGAGGTGAGAAGGAAGGTAAAGTATTCTAGGTATTGAGACTTAGCCTATGGAAAGAAAAAGACTATTTCTAAGAAACTCTAGTCTCTGATCTGTTTTCCAAAAAGGAAACAAAAAGGTAGAAGGCAGCAGCTAGGAAATAAAGCAGAAACCACTCCCCCTACACTCTATCCCACCCCTGGGCTTGTCAAGGCAAACATAGCTTATCCACCACGTACTTCTGAAAGTCATCATTTTCTGCTCCTTCAGAGACAGGGAGTGAAGGAACTGCTACCCCTCCCAAACCCTTCCCTTCAGTCTGAAAGTCCAAGACAGAAAAAGAGAAAAAGGAAAAACCAAGGAAGACTCGGTTCATATTCCCTGATGGACTGAAGAGGCAGCATGGTACAAGGCATGTATCAAATGGCTCTGAAATCAGAGAATGTGGTTTCAAAACCTGCCTCTGCAGCATACTACTTTTTGTGTGACCCGGAAAAGCCACAATCTTCTTGTTCAACTTGCTCTATAAAAAATTAGGCCTACATAGCTTCTGAGAAACCTTTTCAAAGCTTGGAGCTATGAAGATATGATCACATTGCCAAGTATGTTGGGAAAAGCTCATCTGCAGGGGACCAGAGGAATTCCCCTGTCCTTTCAGCAAAGGCTAGGACTATAGCCTCATCTCCCTCCACAGCAAATCCCTGAACTGTAGTCTCAACAAACTGATTGGCCAGGAAGGATGGAGAAGTGTCTCATTAAATTTATTAGGGGATTTCCCTAATCACCCCTCTAATTGTTTTCTGGGGCATCAAATAAAAATGAGGTGTAGAACACATTGTTCCCTATCCCCAATTCTGTAGTTACCTGGGGATCTTGGGGGACGGGTATCAAACAGCTGTCCAGTTCTTGAATTCTATTTTGTCCTAAAGGTCATTAGCTTTAAGATATATGGTACCTTAATAATACTATAAGCAGCCCCTTCCCTCTTCTGACATTGCCACCATCCTGAAGTCTGAATTACTATAATAGTTAGTCAGTTGGCCAGTCAACAAACATTTATTAAGCACTTATGTGTAGGACACAAATGCAAAGACAGATCACCTTCAAGGAACTCACATTCCTAATGGAAGAGATAACATGCATAACAACTATGTATCATACAAAACATATGAAATGAAAAGGGACAGCCTTCTCCCTCCTCCTCCTCTCACCTATCAAAGTGATCTTTCAGGAGTACAGGTCTCACCTGCACATCAGACACCCCTAAGTGAATAAAATCCAGTGGCTCCCTATTAGCTTTAAGATCAAATAAAAAATCCTCTCTGGTTCTTAAAGTCCCCTGACCCCTTAGTATCTTTCAGGTACTCCACAATCCAGTAACAATGGCTTCTCTGCTGTTACTCTCTCCCCACTGGCATTTTAAAAGACTGTGTCTCATGCATGAAATTTTCTTACTCCTTATGTCTGTTTCCTGGCCTGCCTCTTTAAGTCCTAGCTCAAAAAAAAAAAAAATCCCTGCTGTGTGATCCCGCGCAAGTCACTTAACCTGTCTCAGTCTCTTCATCTGTAAAATGGGGATAACAGCACCGACCTCCCTGAGTTATTGAGAGGATAAAAAAGAGATATTTGTAAAGAATTTTGCAAACCTTCAAGTGCTATATAAATGCTAGCTTTTATCATTATTATCTTCAACATCAACACCATCACAGGAAACTTATCTTGAATACTCTAAATGCTTTGTGCCCCTCTGGATTTTGTTTGATTTGCCTTTCTTTAAATCTGCAGCACTTAGTACACCACCTGGCACATAGTAGGCACTTAATATGATGGCTATTTCCAATTTATCTTTATAGGCGTTTGTACATGGCTGCTTCCATGTTGTGTCCTCTGCCCCAACTTAGACTGAAAGTTTCTTGAGATCAGGGACAGTTTTTTTGACATCCACTGTATTCTGAAGAACAGCACCTGGCACATAGTAGGGGCTTAATAAATGCTTGTTGATTGTCTGACTCATAACTGCCATTTTATGATCTTTGTTTAGGAAATCACATATTTTCCCCATTAGAAAGCTAACCAAAAAACAATAACGCATTTTTTATGTTGCTAGCCCGTGACTCCACCACCTCTATTTTGGAAAATGGGCACCAGTGCCATGAGATAAAACGCCCCCAGACTCTATCGATGGCATCCTCATCGCAGACTTGGGGGTGAAAGAACAATGACTTGAAAGGGAATTCAGAAGACGCGAGTTCTAATCCCCACTCAGCTGCTCAGTAACTAAAGACTTCGGAAAAGTCATTTAGCCCTGCGAGGTCTACGGAAGCAACCAGAGAGGGAGAGACTAAATCTTTATAATAAGAGCCTAAGGATGAGCCTCCCTAACCAACAGTCACATCCGTCGGAAAGACCCCAAACCTGGTCTGGGATGGTGACCTCAGAGGCCGCCCCGAAGAAGCCCCGGGGCCCCCCGCCCGCCCCCGCAGGCCCCCCCCCCCCCCCCCGCCTCCCGCTCCGACCACAGACCCCCCCCGGCTCCCTTCGGCCCCCCCCACTCCCTCCTCCTTCCCCGCGGCGGCCCCGGCCCACGTGCCGCCGCCGCTCAGCCCTCCGGAGGCCCCACCTGAGGCGGCTCCGGTCTTGGCGCGGATGTATCTCCGGAGCTTCCTCACCGCACGGTCTCGGGTCGTCTTCTCGTTGCCGGCCAGCCGCTGCGCTAGCTGGATTTCCGAGGGAAGCGCCGGGGCCGGAGACATGATGGCGAATAGCTCACGCAGCGCCTGGGAAACGAAGCGCGATGAAGAGATGTCAGCGCCGTTTTATGACGTCACAGCGTCCCCGGCGCGACGTCGCGTTGGGAAGCGAGGGCGCCACCTGCAGGGTAGCCTCCGGAACGTGGAACTGCTGTGCCTGGGAGGAGGGCGACCTCCGAAGGCCGATTCCACATTCAGTCTACAAGTAGACTCGTGCTAATTTGCTACATTTGGGCAGTTAGAGAGGATTGCGGTCTGTATTTCTGACCGTTATTCTCACTTTTCCTACTGCAGAAGCTTCGTAAATCCAAGGCAGACACAATGTTGGGTTAGCAAAAATGGAGCACATGACTTAAGAAAAACCTGGAAAGACTTGTATGGTCTGATGCTGAGTGAAGTGAGGAGAACCAAGAGAACGTTGTACACAACAACAGCCACGTTGTGCGATGACTAATATTGATAGACTGAGCCCTTCTCAGCAATGCAAGGACCTGAGACATCTCCAAAGGCCTCGTGATGGAGGCTGCTATCCACATCCAAAGAAAGAACTATGGAGTTTGAATGCAGATCGAAACATACTATTTGCTATTTTTTTTCTTCTGTTGAGTTTTGTTTCCTCTTTCTAGTGGTTCCTCCTATTGGTTCTAATTCTTACTTGCAACATCACTAATGTTAAAATAGGTCTAATAGGAATGTATATGTATAGCCTATATCAGATTGTGCGCTGTCCTGGGGAGGGAGGTGGGGAGGAAGGGGGAGAAGAAAGAAAAAAAAAATGGAGCACAGCTTCTCCCACAATACTATGTTGGCCGGAGAATCTTAATTCATGTTGATTGAATTGAATTGGCCAATAAATCCACACTAAAGGCCTCCTCTCAGAAAGTCTTAGTGCCGTTGCCAGCTCAGTGAAATCCTCCATTATCAACTGCTACTAATTTCAGAGGAGTTATTAAATCAAATCTCTCAGAGACCCTTGTGATCACTGATCATAGGATCATAAATTTTGAAATACTAATTCATTTATGTCCCTTCTTCAAGTCACACTTATCTATTGGCAAATAACTTTGGTATATATATACATGTACATATGTATATACGTATACCTTGTGCATGGCAGATAGGTGGTTCAGTGGTTAGAAGTAGACTGGTGGAAGTCAGGGCCTTGGAGTCAGGAAGACTCATCTTCATGAGTTCACATGTGGTCTCAGATACTTAATTTCTATGTGACCCTGAGCAAGTCACTTAACCCTGTTTGCCTTAGTTTTCTCCTCTGTAAAATGAGCTGGAGAAAGAAATGGCAAACCATTCCAGTATCTTTGCCAACAAAATCCCAAATCGCATCACAAAGAATCGCATATGACTGAAACAACTACATATACATAAATACATGTATATACAGTTTTCAAAATAATTGCAAACTATTAACAACCCTATGAAACAATACTCGAAATCACTAATAATAAGAGAAATACAGTTCCCATGAGAGCCAAGATAGCAGAGTACAGGCAGCAACCCAGTTGAACTCCCTCAACATTACCCTTCCAACCACTTTAAGAAAATGCATCCAATCAAATTTTGGGGCAGCAGAGCCAACAAAAGGTCATGATGAGACTTTTTTCTTGCCTAAGACAACTTATGAGGTTAGCAGGAGAGGTTTGTGACTCCAGAGTGGAGGCCTATCTTGAGGGAATACAGAAGCTGCCTTCAGAAGCTCTCGGCCCAGAAGTGATAAAGAGATTGGACAAATGGTCAGAAAGAAATTACAGGAAACCCTTTGTGGATACTGGGTGCAGCTGGCACTGATTGGCAATTCTATTGCCCATATGCAGTTCTGGGTTACATTTCCTGGGTGGTGAGGAGCACTTGTGGTCTGTCATAAGGAAACTGATCACAATTCCAGGGCCAAGAGGAGCACTAGCACTTGTGGCTACAGAAGAAGAAGTAGGGGATCTGGTGGTCACAGTCCCAGGGCCAAGACGAACATTAGCACTTATGGCTGCAGGGGAGCAGGGACTCTTCCTAGGTAAAGATCAGAACCTGAACCAGGAGAACTGTGATCACACCTCTCCTCACATCATACCACCACAGAAGCATTGAAAACTTGCATACCTCCAGAACTAGTTCTGAAAACAGCAGCACAAAAAAAGCCTGCTTGGGACAGTGCTTCCCCACCCCTATGTAAGCAAAGCCCAACATTAACATAAAGTTCAAAGTCAAGAAATATAATGAAAAAAAATGAGCTAACAGAAAAAAAAAAATCAACCCACAAACCTTGACCATGAAAAGCTATTACAGTGGCAGGGAAAACCAAGACACAAACTCAGAAGACAACAATGTGAAAACAGCTACAACCAGAGCCTCAAAGAAAAATGCTAATTGGACCAAAGCCCAATAAGAATTCCTGGAAGAGTTTTAAAAAAGAGCTAAGAGTGATAGAGGAAAAATTGAGGAAAGAAATGAGAATGATGCAAGAAAATTATGAAAGGAGAATTTACTTCATAAAAGAGGCCAAAAAAAATACTGAAAAAAATACTAAAAAATATAATTGGCCTAATGGTAAAAGACACAAAATTTCACTAAAGAAAAGAACTGCTTTAAAAGCAGAATAGGCCAAATGGAAGAGGATGTACAAAAGCTTACTGAAGAACATAATTCTTTAGACATTAGAATTAGGCAAGTAGAGCTAATGAATCCATGAGACATCAAGAAACAATAAAGCAAAGTCAAACTAATGGAAAAAAATAGAAGAAAATGTGAAATATCTCAATGGGAAAACAATTGACCTGGAAAATAGATCCAGGAGAAATAATTTAAGAATCATTGAACTACCTGAAAGCCATGATCAAAAAAATAGCCTAGACATCATATTTCAATAAATGATAAAGGAAAACTGCCCTTAGGTGCAGAGGGAAAATAGAAATGAAAAGAATCCAACAATCACCTCCTGAAAGAGATCCCAAAAAGAAAACTCCCAGGACTATTATGGTCAAATATAAGACCAGAGCTCTCAGGTCAAGAAGAAAATATTGCAAGCAGCCAGAAAGAAACCATTCAGATATCATGGGACCACAATCAGGTTCGCACAAAATTTAGCAGCTACCATGTTGGAGGAGCACAGGGCTTGGAATATGATATTCCAGAGGGCAAAGAAGCTAGGATTATAACCAAGAATAATTTACCTAGCAAAACTGAGTATAATCCTTCAGGAGGGAAAATTGATATTTAATGAAATAGAAGACTTTCAAACATTACTGATGAAAAGACCAGAATTGAATAAAAAATTTGACATTCAAACACAGGACTCAAGTGGAGCATAAAAAGGTAAACATGAATGAGTAGTTATAAGGGAATCAGTAAAGTTGAACTGTTTACATTCCTATATGGAAGATGATACATGTGAGTCCTAAAAATTTTATCATTATTAAGACAGTTAGAAGGAGTGTACATCGATACAGGTATGAGTCAATTATGTTGAGATGATCTCAAAAAAATTTTCTTTAAAGAATTGGAAAGAGAAATGCACCAGAACGGGGAAGGGGAAGTAGCATGGAGACGTTTTTGTTGCATAAAAGAGGCATGCAAGGAAAGGTTTGGGGGCGGGGCAGGAGATGGCAGGCAACGCTTGAATCTCACTCTCATCAGAATTGCTTCAGAGGGAAGTATATACACACTCAGTTGGGTATAGAAATCTATCTGACTCAATAGAGAAGTAGGAGGGAATGGGGATAAGAGATATTGGGGGGCATGATATAAGAGAGGGCAGATTAAAAGAGGCAATACTCAAAACAAAAAAAAACAAAACAAAACAAAACAAAGGGGCAGCTAGGTGGCACAGTGGATAGAGCACCAGCCCTGAAGTCAGGAGGACCTGAGTTCAAATTCGGCCTCAGACCAAACACTTGACACTTACTAGCTGTGGGACCCTGGGCAAGTCACTTAACCCCAATTGCCTAAAAAACAAACAAAACAAAAAAAAAACAAAAAAAAGAGGCAATACTCAAGAGCAAAAAAGACTGTTGAGGAGGGATAGGATAAAAAGAGAGAAAGAAGGAAAAGAGAAAGAAAATAGGATGGAGGGCAACATATAGTTAGTAATCATAACTAACATTAATTGGGATAATAGTGAATATATAGATTAATTTTGGTAAAATTGTCATTTTTATTATATTGGCCCTGCCCACTCATGAACAATTAATATTTCTCTGTTTATTTAAATCTGATTTTATTTGTATAAAAAGTTTTTTATGATTTTCTTCACATAGTTCCTAGGTTTATTTTGGCAGATGTACTCCCAGGTATTTTATACTGTCTGATGGTTTTGTTTTTTTTTTTTTTTTTTGGTTAGGCATTGGGATTAAGTGATTTGCACAGGGTCACATAGCTAGTAAGTGTTATGTGCCTGAGGCCGGATTTGAACTCAGGTCCATCCTGAATCCAGAGCTGGTGCTGTATCCATCGCACCACTTAGTTGCCCCTGTCTAATGTTATTTTAAATAGAGTATCTCTAGCCTATCTCTTTCTGCAGAATCCTGTTGGTGATATGTGGGAATGCTGAAGATTTATGTGAATTTACTTTATATCCTGCTACTTTGCTAAAATTATTAATGATTTCAATTAACTTTTTAGTTGAGTCCTTAGGATTTTCGAAGTATATCATCATATTATCTACAAAAAAAGATAGTTTTATTACCTCATTGCCCATTATGATTCCTTCTGTTTCCTTTTCTTCTCTTATTGCTGTTGTTAGGATTTCCAATACAATATTGAATAACACTGTTGACAGTGGGCATCCTTGTTTCACACTGGAGCTTACTGGAAAGGCTTCTAGCTTATCCCCAATACAAATAATACTTGCTGATGGTTTTAGGTAAATGCATCTTATCAATTTAAGGAAAAGTCCTTTTATACCTAAACTTTCAAGTGTTTTTAATAGAAATGAGTGTTATACTTTATCAAATGCTTTTTCTGTATCTATTGATATAATCATATGATTTTTGTTACAATTCTAGTTTTCAAGGTGTTGTTTTTTTCTTAAGATTTTGGATTTCTTTTTCTAGTTGGTTAACTTTCTTTTCATAATTTTCTTGATTTTACTGTATTGCTCTTATTTTTCTTCCTAATTTTTCCTCAATCTCTCTTATTTGATTTTTGAAGACCTTTTTAAGTTCTTCCAAGAACTCTTTTTAGGCTTGTGACCATTTGACATTGCTCTTTGGGGTAGGAGTGGCTTTTTTTACTTCACTGTCATTGTCTGAATATGAACCCAGATCTTCTCTATCCCCACAGTAGCTATCTATGGATTCTTTCTCTTTTGCTTACTCATTTCAGTTTTATTTGTAGTAGCTTATTATTATAGTCAGCTCTAGTCCCTTGGTGTGGGGAATGGTGTGCCTGGCCTCAGGTCTTTCTTACTGTTATTTTCTGAACTCTGTCAGGGGCCCAACCTCAGGCACTCCTCTGCACCACCAAGCCAAGACTAGGACCCCCAGCCATGCTGTGCTGCAAATGCTCTTGCTCTCTGCAGACTGCAACCTTTAGCTCTCCCCAATGGCTTGGAACCAAAACCAGGTACTTCCCTCCTCATTTTGACTGCATTGGTCTTATTTGTGCAAAAACTTTTTACTTTTATATAAGCAAAATTATCTAATTTACCTCACATGATACTCTCTATCTCTTGTATGGTCATAAACTCTTCTCTTATCCAGAGATCTGACAGGTAATTTTTTTTCATCCCTAATTTGTTTATGATATCACCTTTTATGTCTAAAGCATGTGCCCATTTTGACGTTATCTTGGTATACGGTGTTAGATATTGGTCTAAGCCTGGTTTATGCCTATTTTCTAGTTTTCCCAGAAATTTTTGTTGAATAAAGAGTTTATGCCCCATTAGCTTGGATCTTTGGATCAAACACTAGAGTTACTGTGGTTAATATATCGTGGTCAATGTATTGTGTGTCAATATATGGACAGTTGTCAATACTGTGTGCCCAATCTATTCCATTCAGCAACCACTCTTAGCTAGTACCAGATTATTTTGGTTTCCACTTTGTAGTATATTTTGAGACCTGGTACCACTAAGTAGTGTTAACAAATGACAAGAAAATGAAGACGCTCATTTTGTAAATTGTAAAATATGATTTTAAGGCAATTATATACCCTGCTTATCAAGACAATATAATGTTATAGAAGTGAAAAAAATAAGGATAGAAAAATTTGAAGAAGTATTAAATGAAAATATGTAAATGTCATAGAATATTTTGATTTCTTGTTGAAGTTACAGTTGGTTCAGGTGTGAAAGAATTCACCTGGACCTTCTCTGTAGCCATTGGTGATGAGTTCAGGGTGGATCCCAAGAATGTTGGGGTGCTACATGAAATGATGAGGAATAGATGTTCAGGTCCTAGTGTCCTGAAAGAATTCACTGTGACAGTCTCCCAAAGAAAGGCATTTATTGGGGTGATGTACGCAAGTGGGCCTGCTCCCTGTGAGGCAGAGCCCCAGTGGGCTCTACTCCACGTAGGAGGCAGAGCATAAGCCACAGGCCCTGCTCTCCTAAGGGAGCCCAGCTGCCTCTGCTTCCTGTAGGAGGCAAAGGCTAGCTAGGTCAAAGATATGGTTTAAATACAATTTTACAGAATAGGGGGAAGGAGAAAGAGAATAGGAGGAGCAAGCATAGCTCCAAAATGCCTAGGGAGGGGAAGAGTTTTTCTGGAATTGAGGGTGCTTTGTGAAAGCACACAATGAAGTCCACAGTGGGGGCTTCAATGCAGAGTCCTCTTTGATCTCTTTTCTGGCTGGTCACATCCTGCGTCTTATGTCCTATCTCAGGTCCTGCTTGCTCTATCTGCCTCAAGCACTCTTTTTTACCTCATCATTGTCACAAATTTTCAAATCATTTTGTAAATGGGGCAATAAATGACACGTTCCAGGCAATGATTTCCTTATGTACATTTCATTAAGCTAATTTTGCCTTTGGCTAGTACGAGGAGATCTAAGAGAAATCCTTTTTAACGATGTGTTTATGGCAAGATGAAGAGTTTTGGGTTTTTGGGTTTTTTTTTGCAAATGTAAAAAAAAAAGTCAAATAACCCCCAAGTCCAATTAAATGTATTTATGGTCTGAGAAAGGACTTGTAGGGGAGAGAGTTCTTCAGCTGCTCAAAGGGGTGAGATAATACAGTTTCTAGAGGCTGGGGACAACTAGGTGGTGCATTGACTAGAGAACTGTGCCTGGAGTCAGGAAGATCTGGGTTCAAATTTGACCTCAGACACTTACTAGCTGTGTAACCCTGGGCAAGTCACTTAATCCCTATTTGCCTCAGTTCCTCATCTGTAAAATGAGGACACACAGGAGAAGGAAATGGCAAACCACTCCACTATCTGTGCCAAGAAAATTCCATGGACAAGTTCACGAAGTCATGAAGAATCAGTTACACATGACCAAATGACAACATTACTATTAAGAGGAAATAGGTTTTATGCCATTTCAGTTTTTCCACTTATCTCAGTACACTTGCACAAGAGTATTTCCAGACTGCCATTTCCTGCAGGCTGGTTATGCACATACCCAAAGATCAAGCAAGGTTTAAGCATGGAGCCCATTTGGGTAACTTTGCACACCAGGATATAGCACGATTATAAATGAATCATTCAACAAGTATTTAATTACCTACGATGAGGTTCCAGGAGAGGCAGGTAGGTGGCAGAGTGGATTGATCACTGCGTTTGGAACCAGACTCATGTTGCTGAGTTCAGATATGACTAACCTCAGACACTTACTAGTTGTATGACCTTGGGCAAGTCACTTAACCCTGTTTGCCTTAGTTCCTCATCTGTAAAATAAGGTGAAGGAAATAGCAAACCACTCTAGTATCTCTGACAAAAAACCCCAAAATGGGGACATTGACAGTTGGACACGACTGAAAAAGACAACTCAACAACAAATGTTAGAGACACAGTAGTGTAAGGGAGTCACACGGTCAAATTTACACTTAAGTAAAATTACTTTGGAGCATAGGAGGCAGTGGTGAGAGACTAGAGGCAGGAAGAGCAATTAAGAGGTTAATGGAATAATCTAGGTGAGAAATGATAAGGCCTAGAACTAAACTGGTAGCTCTGAGTGACAACAAAGGGTCCAAAACAAGAAATGCTATGAAGATACAGAGGGAAATGTTTGGTTTGACTATTTGGGGTGAAGTAGAGTCCATGAAAATGTGAAGATTAGAAGTTTAGGATATTTGGAACGAGGGAGAGTGAGGAGTCCACGATGATGCTTTGTGGAACTGGAAAGATGGTGAAACCTTGCAAAAACTGGGAAGTTTGTAATTCTGGGGTGCTTGGGCCAACCATCAATTCCTTATGTCTGTGCCTTAACTTAGTTTTCAAATGTGTTGTCACCTATGTTTTACTGTATTTTTATTGTTTAAATATTCCCCATCACATCGTAATGAGGTTCCCCCGTCCCAGAGAAGCAGAGCAGGTCAGCCTCCTGGGGCAGAAGGGCCAGGCGGTGTGGGGGGAGCTGAGGCGAGGCAGGGGGGCGCCCCAGCCCCCCAGGAGCTCCTGGGGCGCTCAGGGTGGGAACGGGGGGGGGCTGCCCCGGGGCGGCCCCGCCGGCGCAGAGCCCGGTCCACACAGTTCCTTAAAACCAACTAATAAATTTCGGGGTCAGTGGGGTGGAGGGGTCCCGGAGGGATTCCAGGTCCGGGGCTTCGGGTCCGGGCCCCCCCTCCTTGAGACTCTTCACAACTTCAGCTCCTCTCGCAGGTAAAGGTACTCTCACTGCCTTCCTCCCAGGGAGTTCGGAAGCGCTTTGTTAGCCTCTGGTGGCGCCACAGGAATGTAAGCCGTCCAAGAAGCCCGGTTTTCACGAACTTTCCCAAAAGCGCCTCCGAAGCGCAAAGCAGAACAATCGGAACCAGAGACTTCCTCATTCTTGCTCTTGACTGCGAGGCAGCGGGAGAAACCAACGGCTGAAGTTTCGGGGGGTGGGAGGGCGAGGGAAGCGACGACGCCTCCGCTTCGGGTGAACACAGAGCACACAGCCCGTTAATTCCTGCCTCGGCTTCTTCTCCCTCTGTCCTGTCCCTGGGAGCTTCTCCTGGGGCTTCTTGATTCTTCTCTGCAGCCCTCGCAACCTTTCCCCCCCTCACCCTCTTGGAGGCAATGGACCCGGCGGATCACGTGGCGGGACGGAGCTCGTGACCGCGTCCCCTCCCAGGTGTTGTCACTCGGTCCAGCTCTCGGTCCCTCACTCCGTCTCTGCCGCCGGACTTGCAAGGATGCTGTGCGGGGGAGTGTCGGCCGCCAAGCCGGCCACGGCCGAGACGCAGCAGATCGCGGACCAGGTAAGAGCTGCGTCGGAGCCTGTGGGGCCTCGCTGCCCGGGAGGCACGGCCGCCGCCCGCCTGCCCCGCCTGCCACGCCTTCCCCTCCGTCCGTGGGAGGCTTTCGGGTGGGCAAGGCACCGCCGGGGTCTCTTCCGTCTCTGAATCTGAGACCCCTCCCGTAGGTAGGGACCAGAAAGAGCCCGACTCAGTGTTTACTGAGCGCCTACTGTGTGCGACCCTGGGAATCCCGAAAGGAGAAATGAAGCTTCCAGCTTTGTCTGTAGCAGCACCTTGTTCACGGGCCACACCTGGAACTCGGCTTTAGCGCTGGAAGCGACTCCGGAGTTAGCGTCCTCCGGGCCCGTCGTGCCCACAAAGTCCCCCAAGTCTAAGGGCAGCCTAAGCTGCAGTAACTTAAGTGTAAATGCTTCAGACTTACAGAAAGCCTCATTCGAATGCTTATTAACTTAAATTTATGTTCACTTATTTTTGTGGGCGTCCGGTTATGCGTTGTGTGTGCGACCTTCTTTGGATTTCACTTTCTTAGACCGATGGATGATCGTCACATCCATCCCCTTGGGCTGTTTCTTGTATGTTCGAATCCAAACCTTGTTGGGGGAAGTCTTTATAAGACTAAGGTGAGAAATGAGGATTAATGAGCAGCAGATGATTAAAGTTTTTACAAAGTTCAGAAATCTAGGGTGATGTATATAGGTATGTATATATAAATAACACAATGAATGGGATTATAGTGTTATATGTAGCCCTTGAGTTTTGATAAGAAAAAATTAATATTTAAAAATTTAATTAACCTTTCAAATGTTTTTGGAAGTTTGTAGCTTTATTAAAACTTAAAACTCAGGCAGCTAGATGGCGCAGTGGATAAAGCACCTGCCCTGCAGTCAGGAGGACCAGAGTTCAAATTCAGCCTCAGACCAAACACTAGACCCTTACTAGCTGTGTGATCCTGGGCAAGTCACTTAACCCCAATTGCCATAAAACAACAACAACTTAAAACTGCTCTAAGCTTTGGGACATGGTGTACTTGTTCCTTGGAAGGTGGGGTTCTTTGAAGGAAGAAGGAAGTAATCATTTTAAAGTTATGGCATTTAACTAGCGAAATGAGAGGCTACTCATCTTGACTCATAAACCAGAAGTTTCCAAGCTATTTTTGGTTCTTATGGGAAGTGTTAGTAATGACTAGATCTTAAGATAACTAGATTACAGGGAATAACCATACAACTTCTGTAAAATAAAACTTACTAAAAGTCTTTTTTTTCTTCTCTTCTCTCACCAGTAGAGAACAGGAGAAAACACCATTGGTATCACTGTTGTTTTCTTTTTTAAAATATATTTTTTGGTTCCTTCAGTCTTTACATCACGGTCATTTTCCACCTCCACTCTCTTGTGGCAAAGAAAAACCATCAAAAGCATAATGACTGTACCTCACCATGTACACAAAAATCTGTTTTAGTAGTTCCCTTCATCTCTGTCATGAGGAAAAAAGCTTTATTCTTTGGGACCTTCTTTTCTTTGTTTTTTCTATTATTTTGAATTCAATTTCTTTGTGAAGACTTTTTTCACTTAATTGTTGTAGCCATTGTGTATATTCTTTTCTGCTTATTTCACTCCACATCAGTTCATATATGTCTTGCCATGTTTCTCTGGATTCCTTGTCATTTTATGTTCTATAATTCACAAACCATCATTTTTTCTGCCATACCTCAGTTGATGGGCATGCACTTCTTTTCTAGCTCTTTGCAAAGAATACTGCTATGAATTTTGATTACAGACTGAACCTGCCTCTAACTTCTGGGTGGCCTGAGCAAAACAGAGCAGGCTAGAGACAGGAGAGTCTGGAATCAAACAGGGATGTATGTGCCAGGGCCCCACCCCTGGTGGGGGGGACCCAAGGTAGTAGGGTTGAACTTTGATTTATTTACTTGTGGCTCAACAAAGAGTCAAACAGTGTAGTGTAGTAATAGTGGTGAGGCAAGGTTGTCTACTGACAGAAAGTCTGTTCATAGCAGGGCTTCATGTCTGGGCCTATTGGTGCTTGCTTGAGCTCAAAATCAGTTCTAGAAGGTGAGTGCAAAGGATTGTTGTTATGTCAAGCTCAGGGCAGAGCTTGTTTGCTGGGCCTTAACTCTGCAAAACAGGGTGTCTCCTAATAGTATCTTGACAATATTTTGGTATTTATTGGGACTTTGTTGCTATCTTTGACTTCCCTGGTATATATGCTGGGTCAGAGGGAAGTTTTGTCCCTTTTCTTGCATAATTACCAAGTAGTATTCCAAACAGATAAACCACTTCCCATCTATCAATATGTCTCTCTAACCATGACCATTAGATGTTTTCTAATATCTATTAGATATTAGATAATTAATTAAAATGTATGAAAATAGATAATTTCTAATTTGCATAGTGTAAATGAAACCTCAGAGCTGTTTTGATGTGCATTTCTCTTACATTTGGAACAAACATGGTGTCAAACTCAAATAGAAATGGGCCACTGAAGGGTGCATTATGTATTTTTTTTAATCTGTTAACTAGTTTCTTACTACATTCTAGTAATTGTTATTGTCCACTGTAATACCTCTGGTGTAGTGGATCAGCCTGAAAGCCTTATTTTGAAAATATTTTGTTCATATATTTTGACCACTTATGTATTGAGGAATGGCTTTTAGTGTAATAAATTTTTATCCATTTTCTGTGACTTTTGAATGTCAGACCTTTATTGGTGTTAATTGTGTAAAAGCTTTTTAAATTGTATATACTTAAAGTTGTCAATTTTCTCTTTTATGATCTGTATTCCTTGTTTGGTTAGGAATTCTCCCCCCACTAATCACAATTGTAAAAAATGCTCTTTCCTAGAGTTACCAGTTTTATTTTTAAGATATGTCACTACTCCACATACACTTAAAGGTTAAGATTAAGATGATTACTGTAATCGGCTCCAAATCTCGTCATCAGAACAATCATTATATACATTTATCACTTGGATTCAAGTTGTGTTTTTCCTTCTGTTCTAATTATTCATATACTTTTTTTGATTTGTTCTTTATTCCTCAGGTAAAGGCACAGCTTGAAGAGAAAGAAAATAGGAAGTTTCCAGTCTTTAAGACTATGGAATTTAAAAGTCAAGTGGTTGCTGGAACAAACTACTTTATTAAGGTACCATGCAGAAGTACAGTGGTTCTCTAATCTGAAACTGTGTTACTTTAGGTGCCTTCATGAATACTTTTTAGTTAATTGTTTGTGGAGGACTCTAGTAAACTTTAAGGGGCAAGCAGAGGTGATGGTATTTTTTGTTTCATTAACTAAATTAAATACTCCATAAGTACTAGACACCGAAAGCAACAAAAGCATTGAAGGAGGTGAGGAGAGAGAATTGGGACATAAACTAATCCTACCCCATGCAAAAAACCTGGGGGATGGAGAAGAGTTTTGAGGCAGGATGTGAAGATCAATCCTTGCCTTTGAAGCAAAGAAGTAAAAGGAAGAGTGGTGGGAATGATCCCTGCCCTTCAAACTCCCTCTCTCTCCCTCCCCCTAAAAAAAAAAAAAGTAGGAAAAATCTTGGGATTTTTCTAATTGTAAATTGGGTAATTTCTGATCCTCTGGTACCAATACAGTAACTAACCTGTAAATTACTGTCATGTACATCTTGTTTGTTTACTTTTATGTGTGGTGTTCAGCCATTTCAATTGTGTCCAACTCTTCATGACCCCTTTAGAGGTCCTCTTGGCAAAGATACTGGAGATGTTTGCCATCTGCCTCATCACTTGTCTCTATACTAGTCATATAAAGTGAACCTTTTCTTAATATTCAATCTAAATAGAATAAAATCTGTTGTTTAATCTACAACTGTTATTTATTTTTGCTTCTTAGGTTCATGTTGGTGAAGAGGAATTTATACATATTCGAGTGTTCGAAAGTCTCCCTCATGAAAACAAACCATTGGTTCTATCCAGTTATCAAACCAAGAAAACCAAGAATGATGAATTAGTCTATTTTTAATGCACTATTTTGAATAGTGGCCCTTTGTTCTTTTATGTGGGTACATTAGATACATCATATGGGCAGGTATTAAAATTTGGGACAATAAAAGAAATCTGATATTTAATAAGTAGCTTTCTGTTTTCTAACTCTGATATATGACCACAGATCATTTCATTATTCATCCATGATTTTCAAGTACACTGAACTTATGTAGCAATACAGCTAGGCCTTCTCTGGGCCTCAGTATCTATAGTTCAACCTTTCAGTTTGTAAAAGATTGATGATATCATTCCTTAGAAGAACATGCTGGAGACCTAATTTTTACCTTTTGGCTGGGGTGGTCATGAAGTTTATAGATTTAGAGATAATCTAGTTAACCCCTTCATTTTCAAATGAGGAATCTGAGGCCTGGAGAAATTAAACAACTTGAATAATTTCATACAGATAATAAGTAGCAGTATTCGGACTCATCTGGTTCTAAATCCAGTGCTCTTCCCACCAGGTCGCTGTGTGCTGATGTTTTAATCCAGCAGGTGGCCACCCTGCAGGGGACCTGCAAATCTCTTGGCATTAATTATATCCACACCTAATTGGTTTCTTTTAGTCGCCCACGTTGAAATTTTCATTTGTAACAGAGTAAGGCTTTTGTGGGCTGTAATTTGTGAATGACCACTTAATTCATCATCACTTTCCTGCTTGCTGAAATGCTGTGATAAGACTTTCCTTCTTTCCCTCTACCCCACAACCCGGCCCAGGCCCCTTCCCTTCTCTTGTACCATGGATTAGCAAAGTTGCTTCCTGTACATGATTGGCCCCAGCTTTGCTAACACGTCTTGTTAGCCACATAAGACATAAAAAGTTTTAGTCACACATAGTAGAGGCCACTTGGACGTGGTGGATTTCTGAAAACCACACAAGTCACTATATCCTTCCTTATATTCTGTCCTGATGACCAGACATTTCTATATGGTCATGCAGTCAGAAGAACGAAGTGCCCTAGTATCTTTGTTGTATATTCCTGCTGTGTTAGGGCAAAGTAAACCTCCGTTTTCAAACTGTTCAATGACAAGTGCCTCATTTTGTTTCAGTATCAAACCCTAAACTCGGAGTGCTGGCATAAGAGCCACATCCAACAGATGGGCTAGTGGGTTGTCAAAATATTAGGAGAGACCCTGTTTCCAGAGCTAAGGCCCAGTAAGTAAGCTGTGTCCTAAGCTTGGCATAACATCAGTCCTTTGCACTCACCCTCTGGCAAAATCATACAATTATCGTATTGCTCTGACCAGCACCAGGTGTTCTACAAACACTTGCTGTATCAGTGTTCCGGTCCTGAAGTCCTTCAATGAATCACACTTGTCTCATTGTTGGTGTTACCCCTCATTGTTAGGGCTGCAGTTCACTGTGTAGCCATTGGTATAAGTATCAAGGTTTAGCTGCACTAAGGTGGATCTCCCCACTAAAAGTGGAGCCCTGGCATGTGTCTAATTTGGCTCCTTGCTTGCAAGTCATTTTCCAAACATTGAGATTAAACTTGGTTGATTCCTGACTCCTGTTTCTAGCCTGCTCTGTTTGACTCCAGCCATCCACAGGTTAGAGGCCAGTTTGGTCCAGTTTGACAGAGTTTTGATATTTTCTCATTGGGTCTACCATGGTACTGTCAGGCAGCTATGATCTTATGCCCTTTGTGAGCATGGACCAAAACATACATTAAATAATGCTTAAAATCTCACGTACTAGTGGAAAAAGTCACGAAATTGCAACCTGCTTCTAGAGGATGACATCATCCCTGACAAATTGTCATATTGAATATATTTGAAATTCCATTTATGGGTCTTTCTGCCTTCCCAGGAAACTAATTTATTAAGTTTTTCTTTATGCAAGGGAACATTTACTATCTGTAATTTCTACCCATTGATAAAATGTAAGCTCTCTGAGGGAAAGGGTTGTCTCACTTCAATATTTGGTTGGGTTTTTTTTTTTGCTCACTTCAGTATTTGTATCTCCAAAGTTTAGCATAAAGTACAGGCTTAATAAATCATCGATTGATTGATCCCAGTTCTGCCATCTAGGTCCAAACAAAATAAAGCTGTCTTCTACATGCCAGCCCTTCCAAGTATTTGAAGCCCCTCGATGCATTGAATGCTGGACTTGAAATCAGGAAGACTCGGGTCCTCCTTCACTTATTAGCTGTAATTCTGGAAAAGTCATTTAACCTGCTTGTCTCATTTATAATAGCACCCACCTCCCAGGGTTGTTGTGAGGTCATATAAACTTTCAATGTAAAATGCTTTACAAATCTATATAAATGTTATCTATTATACCTTAATAATAAAGAGATCTAGACTTGGAGAAATTGGAGTAATGTCTTTTTTTAAATTTAATAACAAAAGTATTTTCCCCCTTCCATTGAAAAAAGGAAAATGAAAACAAAAAAACTTGTTAGAAATTCTTGCATTTGGCTATGTCCAATCATATGTCTGTCTCTTCACTTCTGTTGAGTCCATCACTTCTGTTAGGAGGTGGGTATCTTGCTTCATCATTATCTCTGGAATCATGGCTGGTCTAAGTTTTTCAAATTACTTGTCTTTACAGTGTGTAGTGTATTGTTTTAGCGTTGTATGATTTATAGTGTTGTTTTAGTTCTCACTTCCCTCTGTCATAATTTTTGAAAATTGTCCCTTTCATCATTTAACCATATAGCATATTAATACATTAATATAATTTGTTCAGCCATTCCCCAATTGATGGACATCTCCTAGGTTTTCTTTTCTAGTATAAAAAAAACTTAAGACATATTTTTGTGTATATGAGCTCTCTTTTGCTGGTTCCAAGGGTAGTTTAGTAATAACATTTAGGGCCAGATTGTTTCCAGAATGGCTGGTTCACAGCTCCACCAACAGTTCATACCAGCTAGCTTACAACTTTTTCCGTATTTGTCATTTTCCATTTTTGTCATCTCTGCCAATATGATAGATGTGAAGTAAAACATTGGAGTTTTAATTTGCATTTCTGTATTAGTGATTTGGAGCTGTTTTTATATGGCTGTTGATAATTTAGTACTTTGAAAACCACCTGTCCATATCTTTTGACTGTTTATGAACTGGAGAATGGATTTTCTTCTTATAAATTTGTTCGGTTCCTTATGTATCTTGAAAATGAGACTCTTATCAGAGCAACTTGGCTGCAAAGACCTTTCCTCAGTTAATGGTTCCCTTCTAACTTTAGCTGGATTGGTATTTTTTATATAAGTAAAATTGTATACTTTATAATCTGATCCTAACTTGTTTGGTCATGAACTCTTCCTTTATCTGAGGTCTTAAAGTTAATTTTCTTTCTCTTCTGAATTATTTATAATGTCATTATGTCTAAAGCTTATCTTCATATACAGTATGAAATAAATGTTGGTGTCTGGCGTTTTTCTGCCATATTATCCAGTTTCCCTAGTAGTTTCTGTTAGAGAAGTGGGGTTTGTTTCTTTTTTTGGGGGATGAGCCATGTCTTTTTTAACACATGTTTTGTGTCCCATGGCCAAGTCCCTTAAAACTCTGAGTTTCAGTGTCCTTTGTTAATTAAGATAATAATGCTTGTAGTATTATTAACTCAACCCTACTGCATAGTTATGAGAGTGAAATAAGTACACACACAAACACATACACATAATAACAATTATATTATGTACAGTAGAGAATATATAAATGTTTTGCAAACCACTTGAAAGTAATACATAAATGTAGCCATTATTACTTGTAAGTTATTATTTATTACTTGATATGTAGTCAAAAGAATAAAATACTTATCTGGATCTTGGTGGCTGGCTGCAACTGATTCTTAATTCACATCATGGATGAAATGCACCACTTTGTCAATGCTATCTCTAAAATGTGCACAGAGCTGAACACAATCTGCTGCACTTTGTACTTGTCAAGCCCCGGCCATGGTATTAACATTTTTCTTTGCTGGACACTTTGTGGTTTGAAAAAATGATATTTTATTTTCCCCCAATTACATGTAAAAACAATTTTTAATTAAAGTTTTGAGTTCCAAATTCTATCCCTCCCTCTTTTCCCCTCTCCCTGAGAGGTAAGTAATCTCATACAGGTTATACATGGGCAATTGTGTAAAATATTTCCATATTAATCATTTTGTGCAAGAAGACTACAACAAAATGGAATAAAGAGAGAAATATAGTTATCCCTTCCACTTTGTGGGGATAGGGGGGCCGGTGCCTTCACGATCTGGAAAAATGGGTAAAATTTTTTGGTCCTCCCTTTGTACCAGAAAAGAAGTCTGAACTTTTTTCTTTTTCTTTTATGGGGTGTTTACAAAACCTTATTGTAAAATTTGGGTTAAGTATTTGGTCCTCGGCTCTGTGTTATCTGCTGACCTTTGTGTGTCATCTGCAGCTTCTGCAAAACTCCCCCCAAAATTCCCATTTAATATTTTATGCCAACCTGTGATATATCAAAACTGTGTTGGGGAAAGTAGCAAAGTGGGAGGGATAACTGTAGTATCCTTCAGTCTGTCTTCAAACATAAATTCTCCCTCTGGAGGCAGATAGTATTTTTCATTGTAAGTCCTTTAGGATTGTCTTGGAGCATTGTATTGCTGAGAATAGCTAAGTCATTCACAGTTCATCATGCAATAGTTTTGTTATTGGGTATGATGTTCTCCTGGTTCTGCTCACTTCACTTGCTATCAGTTCATGTAAATCTTTATAGGTTTTTTCTGAAATCATCCTGCTTTTCATTTCTTATAGCACAATAATATTCCATTACAATCATATATCACAACTTTTTTCAGCCATTCTCCAGTTGATGGGCATTCTCTTAATTTCCAATTCTTAGCTACCACAAAAAGAGCAGCCATAAATATTTTTGTACAAATAGATCCTTCCCTTCCCCATCCCCCCCTTTAAAAATCTCTTTGGGATACAAAACTATTGCGGGATCAAAGGGTTGTATAGCCCTTTGAGCAGTTCTAAATTGCTCTCCAAAATGACTGGGTCAGTTCACTACTCCACCAACAATGCATTAGTGTCCCAGTTTTCCCACATCCCCTCCAATATTTATCATTTTCCTTTTTTGTCATATTAGCCAATCTCATAGGTATGAAGTGAGTTGTTTT